AATTAATAATAAAATAATACAGATATGAATAAATATGATAATAAAATATATAAATAAATAATTAATAAATATAAAAAATAAAAGCAGAGGTAACAGTATATAAAAAATGAAGATAATAAAATTAAATATCAAAATATTTTAATTATTTTCTTATTATCCCACAGTTATGGATAATTTCAATTTATTCTTTACACCACCAAATATATATGGTCACTAACTGCTTTAATTGATAAAAATTTACTTTATTGGAGGAGATGATTCTCCCTCTTTCTTTTATCTTGGTTTAACCCAAAGTTTTTCCTTAAAATCTCCTGCATATGTTTTTCAAGCTTCGCCGTTAATAGAAATTAGGTGGGAAACTTCTTGTGTAGGAGGAACAAATTATTCTATAATTTTTGTATTTGGAGGAACAATTTGGGATGGTAAAACAGGAACTTATATTATGGATAAATTAATTAATGCATTTGATGCAACAAAGTCAAGAATGGTCAGCTCCTGAAGTCGAAGGAGAACCAATTAGACGTCATTGGTTACATGCAGTTATTGATACCAAAGGAAATCTGTACAGTATATGTGTATATGTTTAGAGAAGAATAGAATAAAGCTCGATATTTTAATGATATGATTATTTTTAATACGTTGACTTCTAAATATTCAAATGGTTCTACGATTAATGGACCACCTTGTGTGATTGGTTATACTGCTACATTACTACCAAATGATATTATCATTGGAGACGAATATTGGAATGCAAGCATTCCTCTTAATATCACTACACTTCCAGCTATTGATATTATTGATGTAAGTTTAATTATTCATTATGTTTATTTATTATCGATGTAAGTTTAATTATTCATTATGTTTATTTATTTATTATTTTTTTTAAACAGATTGTTCTATATGACATAAATCAAGATTCTTGGAATTACTGTAAATTATTTCATTAATTAAATTGCGATTTACTTTTTATCATTCATTAAATTAGATAATAATAAGAGATAATCGAATCTTTTATTTTTAATAGATTGCTTTTCCCAAAAGTTATATTCAAGATCGAAGTTATCATTCAGCTGTTCTAGGTATGGATAATAATCTCTTTCTTTAATTATCTTTTTTTTTCTTTACGGTTAATCTCTCTACTTCCTTTTTTTATTATTATTATAGCATCGGATGGCCTCATAATATGTTATGGAGGAATATCATTAGACGACACAACTGTAAGTCCTTCTCTTATATCATTAAAGACAGCATCTTACCCATTTGAATGGCGTTCTCCAGTATATTTTGGTACTGATGAATCACCTGGTCTTGTCGCTCATTCAGCAAATTTAGTTGAAAATTATATGAAAATTGGATTTGATAATATTATTATTGAATTATTTAAATTATTCTTAAATTTATAAATTTATGTAATTCATTCATTCTTTAAAAATAATTTATTTAATCTTTTTTTCATAATTATTTCTTTTGAATAGGGAAGGAAACTAATGATTTAACATCTCCAATACTTGATAGTTCAAGAATATTTATGCTTGATATAAGAAATTATACTTGGATTTCTTATTATTATGAAGGAACAATGTCAGAACCAACATCAGTAGCAACACCAAAAGTAAAATCAATTGTAGGTGTTGCAATTGTTTTGGAACTTCTATTATGATTCTTTGGAAAACGCTATTATTAAATAGAAGTTCTACCTTTTATGTATCTGGATATAAACGGCATAATACTGAAATACTCCAGAGTTTAATTATCCTTCAATAGCTTACCTGCAAAAATAAGTCATTGTTGGTCAAGTGTAATATCTTGATTTTTATTACAAGTTACAAATATTTCGTTGAAAATCATCTTCTGAAATTTTTTAAAAAGAAGCATCAAAAATAATTAATTAATGATTCACTTAGTCAAATTTATAAATTATAAATTATAATATGTCTTATATTATATTATAATTATATTTTAGCATTTTCTTTAGGAAAAGAAGGAAAAAAATGACACATTAATGATAATGCATGCCTAATTACTAACTGTGTTGTTCAGACACTCAGTAATGTTGTGTTTGTGTCCATAACTTGTCTAGAGTAAAATATACTGCACAAAATATGTATGTAAATAAACATATTAATTTTACTATAAATTTACTAAATTTAAATAAAATAAATCATATATATTAATTAAAATTATATCAATTAACTTTATTAAAGTTATATTTATTAATTCATCAACATTAGAGTAGTTTTCTATTTAATATTCTTTATCTACAATATAATAAGTTCTAATGATTTCATTGATTTTTAAAATCTAACAACATATAATATTTGATTCTCCATATTCATAGTATATTTTTGCTTTCTTTAATAATCAGCCCATTAATTAATATACATTATTGCCTATAAATTTTACTTGACTTTTAAATAGATATTTCTGTATTTATTAGGATAAATTTTTGTTTGACTCCGATTTCTATTTCTTCGAATCCATTTAAATCTTATATAATGTTCATTTTTGTTCCCAACCATTCATATTTTATTCTTTATTAAGAAAAGGGGACTATCATCTATAAATTTCGACTAAAAAAAAATTACTCTAAATTATTTATTTGAAACATTATAAGAAACAGAAAATAATTATTTATTTTTCAATATAGATTGATTAAGTGTATATTTTTTGATGGAAATAAACTCTCCATCTGTATTTAGTTTAGTAAATACTAGATAAATTGCATATTGCTTGTGCAGTTTTGGAGGGAAGATATTTGTTAATAATGTTTTAAATTTCCCAAATATGAATATATTTTTATTAGTGAACGCGTTAATGGAAGAGTTATTCCCAAATAAACTCCATTGAGAATTACAACGCGACCCAACGTGTCATGAATATTAAATTTCATAGTACCAAATATTCCTCTAAGTCACGACAATATTCTCTATCAAATGTTTGAAATGTTGGAAAAAATCATAAAATTTTATTTTAGACTTATGTTTCTATTTACTGGCAACAAAGTTTGTTGAGACGATTTCACTTCAAATAATCTTAAAGCACAAGATATTTCATCAGATAATTGTATATTATCTCTTACAAAATAAACTATTGCTAGAATATTTATAAAATATTAAAACATTATTATTAATTAACAAAAAAAAAATTCATTTAATCATAGATAAATTTTCATTATTATCAGGTAAATTTTTATTATCATTTGTAGTCAAAGATTTATCTTCAGAAATAGCAGCAAAAATTTGATCTTATGTTGAAATTTATATTCTAGACATTTTTACAATGCCTTGTTTTGATAGACTTTGAGTCCCTTTTTAAATATTAAATTATAATTGAAAAATCAATTATTTATAAAATAAAACTACAAGGCTTATCAATTAGATTTCCAACCTACAAATTTATCCTTCGATCCTTATTTCTTCTTAATTTGTAATAAACTATGAACAAATTTCCTTTTCTTCCGGTCAAGAAGAAGATTCACCTCAAAAAAAAAATAACAAGTTATTTCTTCTCTTATTGCAGTTTTAGGAAAAGAAAAAATTATTATAAAGAATATTTTTAATACCTTCCTCCAAAGAATTGTTATTCAGATTTCCGTTGGGATAAACATGCAAATTCCAAAACCTCAACTTGGCAAAAGTCAATATGGTACGTAAATTTGCATTTATAATTAAATTTACAAAAAAATTATGGTAAAGCATTTTATAATCTTGCTGAATACAAAAAATTAGATATCAATATAAAATCGAGTACTTAGCTTTTTCTAATTTGGATCTTAAATTTGTTTAAATTTAAAAAGAAAATCTTTTTCCCTGAATGTCTTAGAGATTTGCTTTATACTATCTTACGAATCGAAAGATTAATTTCAAATATTTAATAATATTTCTGAAAGAATTTTAATTAAAATAATAATTCATTATAAAGGTGACAATAATCGATGAAAATAATAATATATTTTTATTTTAGAACCACTAAATCCAGTAATAACAATCAAATCTTTCCTTAACAATGGGGAAGGCAATCATGAAAGTGAGATCGAGATTATCAACAAGATTTATTCGCGAGCTAAAATATTTCTTTTTTAATTACAAAAAAAGGTCTAATGATTATCTAAAAGAATTCAATCAATACATCGGACTCGATATTCAATTTTTTTATTTAACTTTATTTGTTTTAGCTATCCATTAAATTTTTGGTATTTTATTATTTTTATCATTTTTAGTTTATTAATTTTATTTTTATTTTCAGACAATAGAGAAGATTGTGATTTAGAACAAAATGGTGAGCAATAAAGTATATAAAATACAGAAGCTCATAAGATCTTGAACCTTATGATTAGTCATTTCCTTTATCAAATTATTGTTTTCGATTCTATCAGTAATAAACTAGATGAACGTGAGTTAATATATTTTTATTTTCACTGTTCAGTAAATAATTATATATTTTTCTTTTAGTTGAGAAATAGACGAAAAAAATTAAATTATCAAATAACTCTACGCTCAGAAGGTCAAACCAGGCAAATATTCATTTGTTGTTAATTTTAAGATTATCCTATTTTGATTGGCCATGAATAAATTCCTTGTAAAACCACTGATATTATTTTTTAAAATAATCTTAATATTTATTCCTTATCTATCTTAGTAAAAAATTACATTTAGTTTCTACTTCAGTAATCAAAAATCTTCCTTCAATAAGAATCACTTCCCTTTTCAAATCAATCCAGTTACAGTGTCTAAAGTATCAAGAGGATAAAAGGTGGTTATATGGATGCATGTTTTATCTTCCTGGTACTTTGTTCTTGTTATCCTCACAGCATTTACAATGTAATCTTTTTCTAATGGAACCTCGCTGTTCAACGAAACAGATGGTTCTCAAATCGCAAAACGTTTTAATGAGATAAAATTTGATACATGAGATTTTTTTTTTAAAGATTAATAACACACTTCGATTAAAATATTTTTTTATAATTATTGCTTAAAATGATTTATTTATATTTATCTTATTACAAGCATTTTAGATCCAATATTTAAAATATTTATTATGGAGCCATGATGAAATAAATGAAATTAATAGAAAGTTAGTATTTTAATATTTTAATTTATTACTTAAGATTCTCATCTTTCTAAAATGGCACATGATAGCACATGATTATTTGTTGTTACCAGCAACTAGTGTATCATCAAAACAATGTGTTTCAACTAGCAAAGATTTAATTACAGACAATAGAAATTGGTTAACAGGTAAAACAGTAAGAGCTTGCATGTGTTTAAGATCATGGTGGATTGGTCCATTGCAAAATGAATTATAAATATTTTATAGTAATAGTATAAGTGTTATAAAATTTAAAAATTAATCTATATTATTAAAGGTCAAATTGTGCACTTTAATGTTTTTCATTGGTTGTATTGGTAGATTGCATGTTATTGTGGGATGAAGCATGATGGGTTTTGTGAATCATCCTATTTCAAGTAATCTTTGATGGTTTGGTAGGATGGCAGTTGCACAAATCACTCTGATCAACTTTTAATTTGCACTAGGTTAAATATCTGGCCTTAGAATTATAAATGATCCAAGTGAGGTTCTATAATGGGGTAAAGGGATGACTGATTGAAATGATTTTGAAAGGAATTTTAGAAACTGAAAACAGTCATTGGCATAATAAAATTTTTCCAAATCAAAGGATTTGCAAAACGAAAAATAGTGAATTTGCTTCCCTTTTTGACTTAATAAAGAAGGTGGAGGTGGTTAGGGTCAAAATCAAACCAGTTCAATTACATTGTGACAAGAAATATAAGGATTTTAGTTAATGTGATAATCATTTTTAATGAATTTTTAATGAAACTTAAATTATGTAAAAGATTGTTTGATATTCTCATATAATTGTTGATAAGCAAAGAATTGTGCAGAAAAATTTGCTAAAGATTATTAATTAACAATTAATAGAAATAAAAAACCAATGCTGTAACCTTAAGTCAAGTCATTTTGATCATTTAATTTTTATTTTTATTTTTTGTAATTTCTTTTGTGAATTCTTATTTGTTTAATGTCATGCACTAGTCAAATACAAAAGAATTGCTGTACTGAATGGTAATTCCTATATTATAGATCAGAATTCTTATATCATAGATCAGCTAAAAATCAACCATCCTATTGCATCTTCTATTATAAATCAGCTAAAATCAGAATTTCTTTTCAGTACACCTATTCTTTTCTATTCAACTTGTGATATATTTGTATGTTCCATTTACAACACAATCAAAAACCAGTAAATTTTTGGTGATTCAAGTTATAAAATTAGCTGACAATCTGTGAGGTACCTGAAAAATCAGCTATCTGATTTGAAAATTGGCCATCCGATTTTTTGATGATTTTTGGGTGATTTTTGAATGATTTTTGAAAATAATAATGAAAAAATTAATCATTTTACTTTTTTTATTAGTAAAATATCAAAAATTTTATTAAGTAAACCTATAGCTAGAAAGGAAAGCACTTAGTAAAAAAATTTTGAACCTAAAGCCATAAATTAAAGGAAAGATGGACATTTAAATTTTATTACTTGTTTGAAATTTAAATCTAAAATTTTTTTGTAGATGCATTTCTTTCTTAGCTATAGTTTTACTTAGTAATATTTTTGCAATTTAGTTAATAAATTAAAAACTTTTATATGTAGATATTATTGCTGATTTTATATATTATTCAATAATTCTATATTTTTATATATATAATATTGGATTATATATAAAATTGGTGATTGTAGTTACATATAAAAGTTTTAAGATTTATTAAAAAATTGTAGATGAAGTCTTGATCATTGTTATCTGTGTAAACTTTCTACAATTTACAAAGACAACGAGATAAAATAATACTAAAACTAATAAACAAAGCTAAATAAAACTATAAAATTACTAATCTCAAAATAAAACAATCACAATAAAGGGGTTTATGTATAGAAGGAATTAAGTACAATCAATTATGAAAGAGGCATATTAACTATTAACAGTGGTATAAAGACTTGTTAATAGGGACAACCAGTTTATCAATTATCAAAAGAATACAATAAACAAGGAACTCAAAGGATTTTGCAACATTAACTTTATTACTTAATAAATCCTAATTCTAAACTTTTAGAGAACTGCAGAAAAACTAACTAACTGACTGATTGAACTGACTTTCTGAACTGAAGACTGAGTTGAGAAAATTCTCAGCCTTTATATACATTATAGAATTAACTATAAAGTTAACTTGTAATCTGACTGAAAACTACACTAGTATTTATGTTAATATCTTATCTAGTATCTTAACTATTAATTTAACTTGTAAATTAACTGAAATATTAACATACTATGACTAGTACTCTAATTTGTATTCTAGTTACAGATTAACAAGAATTTAGAAATTTACTAATTTAAGTAATAATGTTTAATTTGTACTACAGCCTAACAAATTGATCTAATATAAAAATGAAAATTTTGTTTAACTCAATTCTAATTTTTTTAATTTTTAACTCAATTCAATAGTTTTGATAGCTTGTATGTATATTTGTATATGTTTTATTTAATCATTGAATTTATAATTATCAATCAATTATAAATTTCATATTTATTAATTATTTATAAGTTTGATATATAAAGTTGAGTTAGAACTGAATAATAAGAACCAATTTGTACTAAGATATTTTTAATATTATTTGAAAAATCTTGTTTTCGATTTTATGATCAAAATTAAATTATCTTTAAAATTATTATTTATTCAATTATCACTATTCAAAAATAATATGATTTTTGATTAATTTATATAACAGAAAACAATTTTCTATTAGAATATTTATATTATTATTTGAAAGCTTTTACTTTGGATTTAACAATAAATATTAAAATTTCCTTTTAATACTAATATTCACCATTCACCAAGTTATTGTCATCTAAGATGATTTTATTAAAATACAAAAATTTATAAATTTTACAAATTTATTATTAGTAATATTTTATTTTCTGATTAATGAGCAATTTTTTATAATATCATTTGAAAAATCAACATTCTAGTTTTATAATTATAGTTGATTCACCTTTCTAATAATTATAACAATATATTAAAATGATTTTATTAATTATTTATAACAGAGTCTTTAATCAGCTTTATTAAAATTAATACCAGAGTTTTTAATTAATGCTCTATTATACTAAATATTAAATTAAAACTTCAATAAAAACATTCTTCTTTATTTATATTTGAATATATTCTTTCTATAAATTTTTGTTAAAATAAATTAATTAATCAAAAAAGTATAAAATGACAAATTGAATTGTATATTTAACATTTTAAATTAAAAAAAATTCAGATATTAATAATAATATTGGTTTATATTAAAGTAAATTATGATATAAAAATGAAAATAAAATAAATACAAAATTAATTTTTTGTTCTTCCATTAGTAAAGAATAGTACCAAGTTACTGCATTAAGTTTAGATATACTTTGCAGTATTATCATTAAAAAAATTATAAATTACAAATTGAAAATAATTCATCATAATTACTACATATAAAACCTATATTTACATTCGGATTTATTTCTTAAAATTCAGGTGTCAGATTTTTTGTAACCTCTTATCTTTCCCCTGCGAAAAAAAACAGATCCTTTTATATTTTCTAAAAGATCATTCACGAAATTTCTTTTTATCCAATCACAATTGTGGACTACATAAAAATAGATATTTCGAAAAAATTTAAAACTACCTTTCAGCCTATAAGCAAAATATTCACATATACTTGTAGTTTTTTTTATTATTATTCATATGAGCTTTAAAGTGAAAGATTAGCAGTATTGCAACGTGACACACTATCCTTCATTCCAAATCAGGGTCTTAGCCAATTTTTATAATATTTCGTCTGCAAATTTAGGTAATAGTTCACAAAGACATTTTGAAAAATGGAATTACTAAATAAAACAAAATAATTGAAAAGGTGTATGATATGTTGCAGTGATTCAGAAAATTAATATTATATAGTCGTACCCTATGTATACAATATAATGATCATAATATATTTGAAAGCCGACTTTTAGAAAGAAGTTAACGTCAAGATATTGGTTGAGTTTTAAAACTAATTCACAATGTTTAACAAACGAAATGTTTATTTAATAACAAAAGAGAACATATGGGTTGACACACAACTCACAAGACTTTCTAATCTAAGTAAATTTCAAAAATAAATAGACAATATATTTTTGACTACAACTATTCTTCCTTACCAGTAAAATAAACAATAACTGTAAAAAAAAAAACAACAATATGTCATTAGACGAAAGATTTTCGCAGGGCATAGGGTCCAAAGTTATTTAATGAATATAAAAACGAATATTTGTTTATTTTCTGCAGATGTTGTATGAATTTTATTACTATATTGTTAGTATTGTGAAAGGGTAAGTGATACGTGAAATTCGTGTACAAATAATCCTGTCATCATTTTTTTGCTTAATTCACAGGATTCATTGTTATTTAATTTTTTCTTTTATCAAAATAATAGTAGAAAAAGATGAAGACAATAAAACTAAATATCGAATATTTTATTTATTTTCTCATCATCTCACAGTTATGGATGATTTCAATTTATTCTTTCCGACCACCAAATATGCTTGCCCACTCAACTGCTTTAATTGAAAAAAAACTTTATTTTATTGGAGGATTTGATGATAAAAGTGCTGACTCTTTCTTTTATCTTGATTTAACTGAATCTTTTGACATATCGTCTCCTGCATATGTTGATCTTAAAGCTTCAAATCAACTACCAGTAGGAATTTTTTGGGCAACTGCTTGTGTAGGAGGAGCAAATAATGATACAATTTTTGTATTTGGAGGAACAAATTGGAATCTGGAAACTTTAAAGTATATTACGAATAACTTAATAAATACATTTGATTCAACAAGTCAAAAATGGTCAACTCCACAAATTAAAGGAGAACCAATTAGACGTCGAGATACACAAGCTGTAATTGATACTAAAGGAAATATGTATATTTTTGGAGGAGGATATAAATTCGAGTTCGATAATTATACTAGTTGGTTTAAAGATATGATTATTTTTAATACAATAACTTTTACATATTCAAATGGTTCAACTAATAATGGACCGCTTAGTATGGTAGGTTATACTGCAACATTATTACCAAATGGTATTATAATGTATATTGGAGGAAGAGCTTGGAATACAAGTGCTATTATTACTATTCCAATTAATAATGTAAGTTCGAAATTTTAATTATTCTTTATTATAACTTTTTATTATTCATCAGTAATTATTTTTATTTTTTTTTTATTTTTTTAAACAGATTACCATGTATGATATAAATGAAGATTCTTGGGATTACTTTGTAAATTATTTCATTAATAAATTGTGATTTATCTTTAATATTATAATTAAGATAGATAATAAGAGATCATTGTACTTTTTATTCTTAATAGATTGCTAAATCCAAAAATATTATTCAAGATCGAAGTTATCATTCAACTGTTCTAGGTATTAATAATTAACTCTTCGTTAGCAAATAATTTTTTTTTCTTTACAATCAATCTTTTATTATAGCACCAGATGGTCGTATAATTTGTTATGGAGGTGAAGCAAGAAACGGATCAACTGCGAATCCAAATCTTATAGTGTTAAATACAACAACTTTCCCATTTGAATGGTATTCTCCAGATTATTCTGGCACTAATGAACCACCTGGTCTTGAAGCTCATTCAGCAAATTTGTTTGAAAATTATATGATAATTGGATTTGGTAAATTTTAGTATTTATGTTTATTAAATTATTAAATTTATAAATGTATAAAAATATATAAATATGTAATAATTTATTAATCAAAAAATCTTCTATTTCTTTTGAATAGGAAATATTACTAATGATTATTCATCTTCACTAACCGCTAGTTCAAGTATATTTATACTTGATATAAGAAATTATACTTGGATTTCTTATTATGAAGCAACGCCACGAAAACAATATCCACCATCTAAACCTTCTCTTTCAGTAGGAGCAATTGTAGGAATAAGTTTTGGTGCTACAATTGTTTTTGGATTTATATTATTCTTTGGAATTCGTTATCATATGAATAATAGAAAAGAGAGTCCTGATTTTCTTGTATCTGATACAGGAGCACACCAAATTTCACAAAATCAAATACCCCAAAACACTCGATGACTTCAATATGTAATCAATAAATTCTGTATATATTATACAGTTACCACATGAAACGAATGAATATAATATGATTCGAAAAACATAAAATTAATAAAATTAATTAAAGCATAATTATTAATTCATTTATTAATTTTCTATCTTACATATCTTTGATATAATCAAGAAATAATTTTCAATACATAATAAAGAAAGAAAATCCTGCACAATGACTATCCCTAAGTTTGATAACGCGAAAGACCGAAAACAAAACTGGAAATGATTTTATAGAAATCATCGTTGTACCTAGCATGTGAATAAATGTAAATTTATGTAATGTCGGTAAAATTAGTTAATTAGAATATACTAGTATACTCTATCTTGCATATAAAATGTATTTGACGTTTTTTTTTAACGACGAAGTTGATAATGATGCACTAAATAATATAAAATTCTCTGATTACTAAATTGAGAATTCCGGATTCCGGAATTCCAAAAATGCGTTGACTTTTAGAAGTTAAAATTTCGCGCCTGGGAATATTGAAAGATTACCTATCACACGATATCTTGTCTAGCGTGAAATAATAAAAGATCTTGATTTTCATCATTTTTTTTTACCTGAATTAATAATAAACAAACAATTTGGTAATTATTTTCCTTTACAGATATCAATGTCAAAAATTTTCGGAAAGACAAAAAAGGACCACATGTGACATTTTAGATAAATAACTTTTCCCTATTATGGGAATTATGGGGAAATAGGATCGACAATATAAATTCTCAATTAGTTATATGAAAGAAAATATATAAAAATTCTGCATTTTATTCAAATGACGCTACGTGCCTCGCTCTCCAAATATTTTGTTTTTTTACTTTCTTTAACGGTTGAAATTTATGAAAAATAAGAAAAATGTCCTTTGAACTTCCCCGAATAATACTTAATAAAATCTTCCTTTATCTTAGTAATGGACATGCAAAATTACCCGACCTACATTCATGTCTTCTTGTGAATAAAAATTGGTCTAATGAAGCTGTAAGATTGCTTTGGTCAAAACCTTTTTATTACACCAATCATGCTTCTCTGTTAAAAATTATTGATGTATATTTGAACTGTCTTTATGAAAATGATAGAGAAGAATTGATTGAAGTTTATAAATTCCCTTTAAATGTTGACTTTCGAAAACCATATTATCCTTACGCATCATACCACAGGCACATTTATTATCGTACACTAATTTCTTTAGTAGATCGATGGTGCGGAACATATTCACCTAGTGGTTCAAAAAATCCATGGTTTTATGTTTTAATGAAAAAATTAATAAAATTATTCGAAAAGAATTCTGAAATTTTGGAGAGAAAATTGCAACGAACTTTATATCTTATTGAAACAGACCAGGGTGTCGGATTTGGGCCTCCTCGTAATGTTTATCTTATTCAAAAGGAGGCAATGGAATATATTACTGATATTGATAGAATATGGTTTGGTTTATATACAGAAACCAATGCATTCTTACAAGAGCTTGGCAAACGGTATACGAATGTGGTAAATATTTTAAATATTTTTCATAGAATTTTTTGCTTATTATTATTTATTATTAATGATCATGTTATATTATACATATATGTTAGGAACATTTTGGTGTTTTTATGCAAACCACTGGATCACAAGCTTGTCATTCTACTGCAGTTGCCGAATTTATAAAACGACAAAATAAATTACAAACGTTTCAAAGTATTTATCTTTCTCCAACTTCTAGGGTCATTAATTCTTTGGAATTACAAGCAAATTCACTAAGATTCTTAGATTTTATTTGTTCCAATTTCTTTGGATGTGCCCCTTTGGAGAGATTAACGAAGTGCAAAAATTTGGAAGTTCTAAGATTTAGATATTGTTGTGGGTTTACCTCTGAAATTGGAGAACCCATATTTACTACAACGTTCCCAAAGATTAAAGATGTGACCGTGCTCAAAACTGATTGCCCTGAATTGATAAAATGGGCAAAAAAGTTAATGAAGACAATATATCCGGCTTTTGTATATAAGGAAGAAGACACGGAGGTTGATTACTTCGGAACATTTAACTCTGATCTCGAAGATGATACTCTATTTGATCTTAATCATGTTAAAGGATTAATGTTATATGAATTAATATGCCTAATTTGTTTAAAATTATGTACACATCCAGTAACAACTTCTTGTGGACACACATTTTGTAACGAGTGTTTAACAAATTACATGACTAAGAATGAAGTATGCCCTTTAATCTTGTGCAGAAACAATCTCCAAAGAAATCGTAACGCTTATTTCTATAGGCATCCTGTCGATTCTTAAGAAAAAATCAGCTGGATTTATACAATATGAACTACATGAAGTAAAACAATTTTAATATGTAAAAAAAAAAATGTCCGTATATCAAATTTTAAGCCTAAAATATTTTTATTATTCTAAAGTTTTATAAGATATGTATCATTTCAATGTTTATAAGCAAAAATTTAAAGTTAAGATCTTTATTTTTTAAAGTTAAAATTCGATTTTTTTTTAATTTTTAAAATAAAATCATATGATATGTTTAAATAAGGATCATTTCATACACGATTTCTGTTTCTTTAGAATTTAAATTTATGTGACCAATTTCAATCGAAATTGAAATTTCAAAAATAAAATAATTCATTGAAGAATTCCTCCAAATGTTCAAAAACTTTATTTCTTCGGGGAAATTCTTGATGATAATAATATATGTACTTGCTTAAAAAATGACTTAAAATATTCTACTCGATTTAATTATGTGTCTAAAAATTGGAAGACAATCGAAAAATCTTTGATTACGTATAATTTTCAAGACGGTTCGACTATAATTTGTAATATAATTTAATATAATTTCTAATGAGGAAGCGGTAGTATGCCTAAAACTTGCAACTATTACTTTACAAGTTGAATCAAGTTTTATTTAAGGAGTTAATTCATGAAGACGAAGGTAATACTCCTGAAAATTCAACTTATTTTTGGGGTAAACAACTTGAGGATGGATAATTAGGATTCTTAAGAAGTTCGATCTCAAATTTCTAATATATTAAATTTTTTTAAAAGATTTAAGATTATAATCTAATTGGTTAATATATCATTAAGTCATCAGATGTTTACCGTATCCTACCGAGAATAAGCATCACCCGGGTATAAGCACCACACCAGTAATAATTTGAAAATGATTTATATATATATATGATCAAAATTATTATTTATCTTATGTTTTAAATATAAATTTTACTACTTTATTTAGACATATTTATACCTATTTATTGTTCTTTTTCATATTTAGAATTAATGGGGGTTTTTTTTTAAAAAAAAAAGAGGCTATGGTATTTTATCTTGTTTCTATCTTTAATTATGAGAATTTATGTAAAAACCTTGAAGGGACAACCAATTTCAATTTCAATTGAACCTTCTGATAAAATTCCAAAAACAAAACAATTCATTAAAGAACTTCATGGAATTCCTCCAAATGTTCAAAGATTTTATTTCTTTGAATTCATTTAAAATATTTACTTCGCAAATCAATGTTACGGATACTAAAAGAATCTTACAGATTGAATTTAGAATATAATTCTCGATATTGACGTCAACACTCAATTATATTATTGCGGCCAAAAATTTATAATCGAAAAAAAAACTCTCTAACTACAATATCCAAGATGGTTCGACTATTATTTGTAAATAACTTCTCATGCAAGAAATGTGCAGATTTTTGGAAAAGTTTAACTGGAAAACCTATTACTTTAGACGTTGAATCAAGTTTTACTATTAAAAGAGTTAGCTCAGGATACGGAAGGTATTCTGCTTTCCAGCAACAACTAATTTTTGCGGGTAAGTCACTTGAAGGTAGAACCCTGCAGGATTACAATATTCAGCTTCAATTGATCCTGAAGCTTAGAAGAAGTTAATTTAAATTTTCTAATTAAATACAGTGTCACGTCTGGACAGCACACAACAAATCAAGTTCCCAGTCACAATAATAGCTTACACTTCTTCGTGTATCGCTATACAGTGCGTCAACTTAAATAACAACTACAAAATCGTGAAAAGGTGTGTGAGTAAGTGAAGTAGAGGTAATTTTCCCTACGTACACTATCGGTGTTAAAACAGATTTATAAGAGATGAAACGTTTATTTACGATTGAACAGTAAAAGAAAATTTTATTAGAAGTTGGGCAACAAAATATTACAGCGGCGTGTTTCTATTCTGTCACTACTTCTAACACTTATTATATAATTATTGATATGTTTATCGCTATTCGTAAATCTTATTATAGTTATTTAATTAATAAAGAAAAAGATAAAAATAAAAGATTAAAGTGTCATTAATTCTTAAGAAAAATGCTGCAAAAAGGAACTCTCTTTTCTTTCTTTTACTACTGCTACTTCTATATTTCTCTCTTCATTCCCATCATTTGTGTTCCCACACCACATGTTTTCTGCACTGCCATCTTCGTACCATCTTATCAATCCTTCGTCTCACCACAGCAGTGTGTTACGGAAGTTTGATAGCCAGAATTAAATTAGTGCCACCAGGCCCAATTTAAACGTAAATTTCACGTAATAATAAGTGATGATTTTGATCACCGTGATAATCTTTTTTGCCTCCGAACAATGACCAACCAAAATGCCACCTACAACTATAAATATTGTGAAAACTACAGCAGAAAATGAATATTCCAAGGTCTACAATTTATTATTATTGCAAAACTTAAAAAAACTGAAGTGTAGCTCATAAAAACGCTGAAGACATCCAAAAAAGATTACTTCGGAAAGTTCATAGGAAATTGCTCAGTTGTAAGAAGTAATTCCTCAATATCTTCGCGAACTTAGTAAACAAGTTGTTTAAAAAAGGTGTAAAGGTATCATACTTATTAATTTTGCGACGTATGGCCTAGAATGAGCACAATAACACCTTAATGACAATTGAGGAAAAACGTTATTTTCAGACGAAACAGCTTTTCAACTATGGTACAAGGGATTTGCTGCATGTCAAAAGACCGATCAAAAAATTTTGCTAGGGGTAGATTTTGTGCACAAGGCAAATTTGTCCAGTAACACACTGCATATTATTTAGTACCCTTTTAAATCGAGAGTAGCAAATTTAAAAAAAAATAAAATAAAATAACTGTATAAATTATTTAAGAATATACAAAAGGACTCAGTAGTAATATTGAAAAAAATTATAAAATTATCAGTAATATAAAATTTTGTTTGTTATATAGCCTCCTTATTCTGATTCATTGTTCTAAATGGAGTAAAAGAAAAAAGTTCGAATTGAAATAAATAAGGATCAAATCATCAAAAAGAACTTGTATATTCATTTTCATTCATTTCTCTAAAAAAGATGAATGTTTATGTAAAAACCTTGAAAGGGAAAACCGATTGTAATTGAAATTAACCTTTATGAAAAATTTTTTAAAATAAAAACTATTTATTGAAATGTTCAAAAAATTATTTCTTTGGAGAAATTCTTGATGACAACAATACAATTGATCATTATGACATTCATTTAAAATATTTGTTTCGTGAAAATATGAAAAATTAATAATACAGTTACGGGTACTATAAAATTCATAAAAATTGGAGTTAAACCCAAAGATGTCATCAGAGACATAAAGAATAAAATTTCTGATATTAATTCCCGTTCTCGGTTATATTATCTTGGCTAAAAATCGGAAAACGATCAAAATCCTGATTATAATATCCAAGATGACTCAACTATAACCTATGATGGAATTTCTATTTCTAACGAAGGAAGTAGCTCTGATTATAATATCCAAGATGACTAAACGATAACTATTTCTAACGTAGAAAGCGTCAGTATTCAGATTTCTGTGAGCACATCAACTGGAAAATTACTTTGCAAGTTGAATCAAGTTTCACTATTTATAGAGTTAAGGAGTTAATTCAAGATAAGCTAGGTATTCCACCTGAGAAACAACGACTTTTTTTTGCGCATAACCAATTTCCCGATAATAGGATTCTGCAGAATTGCAATATTATCTTGAAACTCAGAGGAAGCTAGATTTCAATTTCTAATAAATTACAAATTATTTAATATAACATTATTTTCATTTAGGCAAGTATTATTGATCTTTAAAATGTATATACAGTCTGATCTCCTATATAGTCACACCTCTTTTATAGTCACACCTTTCATGAAACCATCGCCTATTAATGCTATGTAAAAAAAACCTCTATACTTGTCACAGTTTTTTGTATCACGAAAATGTGATTATATAGAGGTCAGACTGTAGTGTCATTTTCTAAAACTCTTTTAAATTGAGAATAGCAAATTGCGCATGTAATAAAAAAAATAAATAACGGTATAAATTATTTAAAAGGATTCTGTAGTAATATTGAAAAAAATTATAATATCAGTTATATATTTTTTTTTCATTTTTCTAAATGGAGTAAAGAAAGTCCGATTTTGAAATCAAATCACCAAAAAGAACTTGCATATTCATTTTCATTCATTTCTCTAAAAAAAGATGAAAATTTATGTAAAAACTTTGAGAGGAAAACCGATTGAAATTGAAATTAACCCTTCTGAAAAAATTTTAAAAATAAAACAATTTATTGAAGGACTTCATGAAATTCCTCCAAGTGTTCAAAGACTTTATTTCTTTGGAGAAATTCTTGATGACAACAATACAATTGCTCATTATGACATTCAAAATGAATCCACTATTCATTTAAAATATTTATTTCGCGAAAATATGAAAATTAATGTGGAAATTAATCATAAAGCTACGGGTACTATAAAATTCATGAAAATTGGAGTTAAGCCCAGAGACGTCATCGGAGACATAAGGAATAAAATTCCCGATATTAATACCCATTCTCGGTTATATTATCTTGGCCAAGAATTGGAAAACAATCGAAATCTCTCTGATTATAATATCCAAGATGACTCAACGATAACTTGTGATGGAATTTCTATTTCTAACGTAGGAAGTGGCTCTGATTATGATGCCCAAGGTGACTCGACGAAAACTATTTCTAACGTAGAAAGTGGCTCTGATTATGATGTCCAAGGTGACTCGACGAAAACTATTTCTAACGTAGAAAGTGGCAGTATGCAAATTTTTATAAAAACTTTATCAGGAAAAATCTTTACTTTGGACGTTGAACCAAGTTTTAGTATTCTTAGAGTTAAAAAGTTAATTCATCTTAAGACAGATCTTAAGACTATGCCTCATCTTCAACGACTTATTTTTGCGAATAAACGACTTTATAATGATAAGACGTTGGAAAAATACGAAATTCAGAATAAATCTACGCTTCGTCTAGAATTGAAGGTTAGAAGAGGAGGATAGATTTTAAATATCTAATACAAGCGAGAATAGAAAATTGCATGGAATAAAAAAAAACTAAAATTATTTAAGAATTTGTAAAAAGATTCAGTAGTAATATTGAAAAAATATATGCGATAAAATGAAAGCTATAAAATTATGCAAATATCAATAAACCTATAATGAGTACTTAACGAATTACATATATAAATCTTTAATTATTTGCACCTTGATTTTTTTTTTTTTTTGTATATTTATATAGGTCCGATTTTGAAATAAAATTCATTCCACTTTTAATTTTATGAAAATTTATGCAAAAACCTTGAACTAAAAATATTTTAAAAATAAAACAATTTATTGAAGAGCTTTAAGGAATTCTTCCAAATGCTCAAAGAATTATTTCTTTAGAGAAATTCTTTTTGACAAAAATACAATTGCTCATTACTATTCATTTTGAATATTTTCTTTGCGAAAATGTGCAAATTAATGTGAAAATTAATTATGAAGCTACGGGTACTAAAGAATCTTAAAGATTTAATTTAAATATCCAACACCATCAGAGACACAAAGAACAAATTCACGATATTAATGCCAACACTCGATTATATTATTATGGAAGGCAATCGAAAAATCTCTGATTATAATACCCAAGATGGTTCGACTATAATTTGTAATAGAATTCTAATGTGGAAGTCGCTGTTATCAGACTGGAAGAACTATTACTTTGGAAGTTGAACCAAGTTTTACTATTGATACAGTTGATGAGTTAGCTCAGGATACGGAAGGTATTCCGCCTTTCCAACAACTAATTTTTAACATTTATTTAATTCAAAATGTTTATGTGTCATTTTCTATTATTTTCTAATATTTGAGTGTCGGGAATAGCATAGAATAAAAAAAAATTATTTAAATTGTTAATACCTATTATTTTTCTTTCCATATTTAGAAACAATGGGAAATTTTTTTTTAAAAAAAAGATGCATTCCGCTTTACTATTTTTAAGGATGAAAATTTATGTAAAAAGTTTGAAAGGAAGACCAATTGAAATTGAGATTGAACCTTCTGATGAAATTTTTTAAAAATAAAACAATTCATGATCTAGTCCTGACGCTTAGAGGAAGTTAGCTTTTCAAATTTCTAATATATTTGAGACTCAAGATTGTCGGTTAATATAGCATTCATTCTTTTAATTAAGTCAACTAATTATCAGATATTAAATTTAAAATTCCTAATCGAAATATATTATTTAGTACTCTTTTGAATTGAGAATAGCATATTGCGCATGGATTCAGTAGTAATATTGAAAAAATTTACGCAATAAATTAAAATTATGCAAATACCAATAAACTTGTAATATAAATTCATAATTATTTGCATCACTTGATTTTTTGTATATTGGATTCTTTTTTTCTAAATGGAGTAAAGAAAGTCCGATTTAGAGAATAAATAAGGGTCAGATCATCAAAACTTATATACTTATTTCATTATTTCACTGAAATATGAAAATTTATGCAAAAACCTTGAAGGGAAAACCGATTGAAATTGAAATTGAACCAACTGAAAAAATTTTAAAAATAAAACAATTTATTGAAGAACTTCATGGAATTCCTCCAAATTCTCAAAGACTTTATTTCTTTGGAGAAATTCTTGATGACAACAATACGATTGCTCAATATGACATTCAAAATGAATCTACTATTCATTTAAAATATTTGCTTCGCGATAATATGCAAATTAATGTGGAAATTAATTATGAAGCTACGGGTACTAAAAGAATCTTAAAGATTGAATTTAAATACACAGACACCGTCGGAGACATAAAGAATAAAATTCCCGATATTAACGCCTACACTCGATTATATTATTGTGGCCAAATATTGGATGATCGTAAAAAACTCTCCGATTACAATATCCAAGATGGTTCGACAATGATTTGTAATATAACTTCTAATATAAGAAGTGGTAGTATGCAAATTTTTATAAGAGGTTTGGAAGGAAAAATTTTTACTTTAAACGTTGAATCAAGTTTTACTATTGAAAGAGTTAAAGAGTTAGTTCAGGATAAGTTAGGTATTTTACCTTGCCAACAACGACTTATTTTTGCGGGTAAAGCACTTGAGGATAGTAGGGTCCTACAGGATTACAATATTCAGAAGGAAGATACGCTTCATATGGTCTTGAGGCTCGGAGGGAGTTAGATTCTAAATTTCTAATATATTTAAATAAATGACAAGATTTACGATTGTAGTCTAATTGTTAATATAAGCATTTTTTTCTTTAAATAAATGTTTAAGTAAAATATATTATTTAAGGCTCCTTTAAATCGAGAATAGCATGAAGTAAAATTTAAATAAAATATAAAATATTTAAGAAATTATAAAAAAAAATTATATATGCTATAAAATTATGCAAATATAAATAAGCTTGTAATGAGTGCCTAACGGATTAACATATATAAATGCATCCGTTCCTCCTATTGATTCTTATTTCTAAATGGAGTGAAAAGAAAAAAAGTCCGATTTTGAAATAAATAAGTATCAAATCATCCGAAACTTGCATTTTGATTCCACTTTTTCTCTAAAAGATGAAAATTTGTGTAGAAACCTGGAAGGGAAAACCGATTGAAATTGAGATTGAACCAACTGAAAAAATTTTAAAAATAAAACAATTTATTGAAGAACTTCATGGAATTCCTCCGAATTCTCAAAGACTTTATTTCTTTGGAGAAATTCTTGATGACAACAATACGATTGTTCATTACGACATTCAAAATAAATCTACGATTCATTTAAAATATTTGCTTCGCGAAAATATGAAAATTAATGTGGAAATTAATTATGAAGCTACGGGTACTAAAAAAATCTTAAAGGCTGAATTTAAATACACAGACACCGTCGGAGACATAAAGAATAAAATTCCCGATATTAACGCCTACACTCGATTATATTATTGTGGCCAAATATTGGATGATCGTAAAAAACTCTCTGATTACAATATCCAAGAAGGTTCAACTATAATTTGTAATATAACTTCTAATGTAGGAAATGGCAATATGCGGATTTATGTGAAAAATTTAATTGGAAAAACTATTACTTTTCAATTTGAATCAAGTGATACTATTGATCAAGTTAAGACGCAAATTCAAGATAAGGAAGGTATTCCGACTGGCCAACAGGCACTAATTTATGCGGGTAAACAACTTGAAAATGGTAGGACCCTGTCTGATTACAATATTCAGAAGGAAGCTACACTTCATCTAGTCCTGAAGCTTAGAGGAAGTTAGATTTTCAAATTTCTAATATAAATGAGATTTAAGAATGTCGCATAAGTCAACAATTTATCAGATATTAAATTTAAAATTCCTAATCGTCATATATTTTTTATATCGAGAATAGCATATTGCGCATGAAATAAAAAAAAAATAATATAAATAACGGTATGGATTATTTAAGATTATATAAAAGATTCAGTAGTAATATTAAAAAAATAAATAAAATTATGCAAATATCAATAAACTTGTAATACTTGTAATGAGCACTTAACGAACCTACGTACAATATAAATCTTTAAAATTCTTGATTTTTTGTATAATTTCTTTTTTTTTTCTAATAAGGTCAGATCATCCAAAACTTGCGTATTAACATTCATTATTATTTCTCTAAAGGATGACAATTTGTAAAAACCTTGAAAGGAAAACCGATTGAAATTGAAATTGAACCAACTGAAAAAATTTTGAGAAATTCTTGATGATGACAATACAATTGCTCATTATGACATCCACTATTCATTTAAAATATTTGCTTCGCAAATTAATGCGCAGAATTACGGGTACTAAAAGAATCTTAAAAAGTGAATTTAAATACACAGACACCATCAAAGACATAAAGAATAAAATTCCCGATATTAACGCCTACATTCGATTATATTATTGTGGCCAAAAATTGGATAATCGTAAAAAACTCTCTAACTACAATATCCAAGATGGTTTGACTATAATTTGTAATGTAACTTCTCATTTAGGAAGTATGTAGATTTTTGTGAAAACTTCAACTAGAAAAACTATTACTTTAGACGTTGAATCAAGTTTTATTATTGAAAGAGTTAAAAGTTAGCTCAGGGTCCGGAAGGTGTTCCACTTGGCTTATTTTTGTGTCTAAACCACTTGAAGAAGGTAGAACCCTGCAGGATTACAATATTCGGAAGGAATCTACACTTTATTTGGCCCTGAAGCTCAGTTAGATTTTCAAATTTCTAATATATTTAAATAAATGACAAGATTTAAGATTGTAGTCTACGTAGTTTGTTAATATAGCATTAAATAAAATGGTTAAATAAAATATATTATTTAAGGCTCGTTTAAATCGAGAATAGCATGGCATGGAATAAAAAATAAATAAGGTATAAATTGTTTAAGGATTTAGAAAAGGGTTCAGTAGTAATATTGAAAAAAAAATATTTACTATAAAATGAAAAGGTCATAAAATTATGCAAATATATTGATTCTTTTTTTTCCAAATGGAGTGAAAAGGAAAAAGGTCCGATTTTGAAATAAATAAGTATCAGATTATCCGAAACTTGCATATTATTAATTTTTATCCATTTCCACTTTTAATAATATTTTCTCTAAAAGATGAAAATTTATGTAAAAACCTTGAAAGGAAAACCGATTGAAATTGAAATTGAACCAACTGAAAAAATTTTAAAAATAAAAAGATTCATTGAAGAACTTCAAGGAATCCCTCCAAATGTTCAAAAACTTTATTTCTTTGGAGAAATTCTTGATGACGACAATATACTTGCTTACTACAACGTTCAAAATGAATTCACTATTCATTTAAAATATTTATTTCGTGAAAATATGCAAATTAGAATTGAAATTTTTTCTTCGAGTACTAAAAGAAACTCAATGATTAAGATTGAAGTTAAATACACAGACAACATCATAGACATAAAGGGTAAAATTCCTAATATTAACGCCAACGCACAATTATATTATTTTGACAAAAAATTGGAAGATCATCAAAAACTCTCTGATTATAATATTCAAGATGATTCAATTATACACATTCTAGAGTAGAAAGAGTCAGTTTTCAAAAAAAAAAAATTTAATTGGAGAAACTTTCCTCTTCTTTTGAAGTTGAATATCAAATTTGTACTTATTGAAAGATTTTAAGAACTTAATTAATAAAAAAGGAAAAAGTTCACCTGACCAACTTGTTTTTGCGGGTACAACTTGTAGGACGGTAAGACCTTGCACAATCATTCAATCATTACAATTTTCATAGAGAATCTACGATTCATATGATCCTAAACTTCAAAGGAAGTTAGATTTTCAAATTTTCTAATAAATGATAAATTCTTGTAAAGATTCAAGATTGTAGTCTAGTTATTGAATATGGCATTCTTTTCATTACCAAATCGGCGGCTATTCATTTATTCATAGTGTACTTTTTTACTTAACGTAACGTTTTAATGAATTTATAAAATAGGGTATTATTTTAAATTATTGATAAATAATAGATTTTATTCTATTGTTAAAAATGTGATGTTATACATTTATTTATTTATATAATAGTTTTTTTTTTTTTCCTTGTGTTATTGATATAAAAGAAAACAGATCAGATCATTATTTAAATATTAAGTTTTTTTTTTTTTTTTTTACATACAAAGAACTGTTTGTCTTTTTTAATTTTTAATTTATGTATCATGTAAAGTAATGCAAAAATCATCAATGTGAGTCAACAACAAATTCTTCTTTTGATATGGTTATCTTTTATCCGTTAATTTCAGGTTTGATTGAAGATTTCATATGCATATTATTTGATTATTAAATCAATTCACTCTATTTCATTATAGAATATTTGTGATATATTTAATTATCTCACTAATATTCAAAGTATGAAAAGCCACCACAACAAATTAAATACATTAACATTTTCGCAGTGACTGCGAGAATTAAATTAAAACATGTGATTTTTTTGACACATAATTTACAGGTATTTTAACTTGTTTAAATAATTTTTTTTTTAGCATACATTACCCATAACATGTACAAGATTTTCTTATTTAACAAAAAAAAATAATTATCTTGTTTTTTTCCAGAAATTAACAATAAGAAATAAAACAAACAAGCCATTTGCAGTATAAAGAAATAAATTACTTGTTTGTTTCTTTTCAAAAATCTATCAAAATTATTAAATAAGATTTTTTTTTTTATTGATTAAAGATTCTAATCAAGATAATCATATAAGAAACAGGAATAATTTATAATTTGTTTTTTTTCTCGTCCCGCTTATTCTTAGTAACCAATAATAATTAGTTCAAATAGTATATATTTCATTCTCATTCGGGTGAATTCGTCTTCGTGTTGTTTTTGTAATTAATTTTTTTTTTTTAAAAAAAAAAAAAAGTACAACAATTTCTAACATCCATACTAAACTAATTTACAATTAAACCAGTTCAAATATAATTTTTACCAGATTCAATCATTTTCAAGTTAAACGAATAAAACGATAAAACACGTGTATTAAAAATTATTTTGAAAATAGTTTAATATGAAATGCAGGAGAATTCAATGAATTTTTAATGATAATTATATAAAGTGAGTTGAATATGTATCTTAAAATGTACTGTATATGCGTGAAATTTAATAATGTAAGTATTAAAAATCCAAGATTAAAGTTTATACAGTACCTACATATATAATAATACTTAAAAATTTATGATTTTATTTATTTTTATATATTTATACCCTATACGCATTATATGTATGAAAAGAAGTTTTGAAAGAACAGAAAGAAAAAAAATAATGCATTTTAAGTTTCTTTCAAATGTATTTTCTTAATGTGTTTAAACGTCATGAAAATGGTAAAATTATAATTTTAAATAAAATGTATTAAATTGGTTTAGTCTCAAAAAATAATTTGAACAATGACAATAGCAAATCAAGTAATGAATGTAAATCATATGTGACTACTTATGGTTAATTGTGTGACTAATTATAACTAATTATAATTAATTATATGATAAAAATATAATATTTATACAAAAAAAAAAAAATAAATAACCAGTTAACAATTAACATTCGATATTTACGACCATTATTATTATTATACATACATTTTGTGTTGTGCATTACATTTGGTATATTTTATAATTTTGTACATTTCGTGTGTATATTTTGTTTGAAATATGTAATTAAAATAACTACAATCAATTTTTTTAAAAAAGACATTGCATGATCAAGTGTCATCAGGCGCATCGTCAAGCATTACCTTAAACATAATCTTAAGCACCGTGCAGCAAAATTAAAAATAAATAATATAATTCGATAAAAATACGCGCGACGTGCGTAATGGTTATGGGTATTAAAAAAAAACCACATGTTTCAAATAAAATCACATGATAACGCAACAACGAATTAATGTTTCTTGCATATTTTGATTTTTTTCTATAAAAAAAAATTAAGTAATTTACGCCCACAACATGAGATTGCAACATGAGATTTTAATTTTTACGCCTATTTCTCTTATTTATAATAAACATAATTAAATATAATTAAATATAATTAAATATAATTAAATATAATTATATTTGGTTCCTTAGAACATTATTTTAGGATAATTTTTAATAATAAACTCGTACGACTATAAACGAAACGAAATATTCAGAATATTGCTACCCTTTATGAGTATGAATGATTGAATAAATGAAAATTTATTACTTCCATTACTGCCATTACTGTATTACTGTTAATACTACGTTTTTTTTTTATGAATATAAAAAAATAAAAATAAAAATACACACGGATCATCCATTTATGCCAGACAAAGGATTACATATAAATTTTTAAAATACTGCATAAAATAGAAAAGAGAAAAGGAGAGGAAGGGAGAGAGAACGTCAGTGATATTTGTTATGTTTTTGTAATATTTTGGAATATTTTCAAAGAATATATTTTCTAATTATGGTCATATTTGATTTATATATTAATTTATAATATATTATATTAGTGATGAAATAAAAATAATTATTTCGTAAAGTTATCTTTCGTTATTAAGTTACCTCTTTATTTAATCTCATATTAATTCTCAAATCTCATCTATTATTTTCATCTAATTATTTTTTTTTTTATTCTTACTTCCTCTCAACTCTACACAGTAACTCAATCTTACATACACAGTATAACACACAGTATGAATGATCATCTTTGTATGTTTTCTCTATTACTATATTGATACGCCGAAAATAAATAAAACATTAAAATAGATATTATAAAATAATAAAATATATTATCAGTTATAATAAATGATCCCAAATATAATAATCCAATTTACATCTGTGTAAGTAATATAAGTAATACAACACAAAAGATCTTTAAGTTGCGAAACTCTTGATAAATTTTTAATTCAAAGAAGCAAGGAAATGAACCATTACTTAATTGTTCAAATCATTTAAAAATTCAAATAATAAATAATAATGGTTAGATATACAATATTACAGTTTTGATAATATTATAGTTTTTTTTTTTTTTTTTTTGAATAACAGAAAACATTTTAAAGAACAATTAAATAATACTTAAATAATACTTATTAGATCTTATGACCGTGTGCTGCTGCTGCTATTTAGCTATTGATATTGTTAATAATAATAACAATAATGCCTCCTAGAAAAAAAAACAAGTATTAAAGAAAAGAAAAACAAGAAAAAAAATAGAAAAAATGAAAAAGAAAATAATAAATATTAATAAATAATATTAATAAATAATAAATAATAAGAATTATAATAATAAATGAGAAAAATCTCGATTTTATATGATAATAAAAAAAGATAAAAGATTAAGGAAAGGAATATCTCCGTTAGTTTCTTGTATTTTTTATTTGTTTGTTTGTTTGTCGTACACCAAAAACCGCCACTACAAATTGTTAAACTGCGGTCGATCATGATTTTAAAAAGTATATTTTACATCATTTAATAATCCATAATAATAATTTTGTATGCTGCGAGAAGTTGTTGTACGTAAGCTACGAATAATTTACACGAATAGTTTACGAAACATACATAAATAATATTACGTATTTATACCTCCTTCCAGTTTGTGCGCGATTGCGACTTATTACACAAATTAACTAATTTTAACTAATTTAATAACTAATTAAGCTATTCAAATACTTTTAAAACGTAATATACCAGCATCCATTATAATTATCGTTTACTCGGTAAATGGTTAAAATTATTTTAATTAAATTAAAAATAACGTCCATATCCTGTTAAAAATAAATATAAATTGATTAACTAAATTAAATTAAATTAAATTCAATTAAATAAATAAATCAAATAACTCCGATTTAAAATATTTTTACTCTCCCTTTGTTTATCATTTTTATTATTATTATTAATTATTATTATTACTTCATCCTCATTCATTATTTTAATGAATGAAAAATAAAACTCCGTGTATACTTTTTTACTGTTATTCGTTTTTTACTTGTTATTTCACTTGTTTGGACATTTTGAAAGTGAATAACATTTAAGCAAAGCGAAAATACTAAACTGTGTTCTTCACATGAAAATATATTTATATATATTTAATATAAACAATTGATAATGTAATAACATAATATATCTGATATAATGAGTAATGTTACATAATAAATTTTATTACGTAACAAATATATTGTCTTTTTTTTCTTTTTTTTTTTATATACAAAAGAATATAGTAACTGATAGTCCTCATTAGAACCATTGAACCAAAAAAAAAAATTTACAAGAAAATAAAATACTATAGTAAAAATAATAAAATATAATAATAAAAAAAAAAATTACATGAAAAAATAAAATAAAAAATGTTTCGTGCGCGTAAATTATTGTTAATCTTATGGGGGGGGGTATTGAAAAAATCATATGTATAGCTTATGCTCTATGACATCACGTAGAAAGATGAAAAGAGTTGTAGAGAAAAATTATTTAATATTATTTATTCTTCTTTAGTTATGATAATCTTTACAAACGATAATAATAACGATGACTAAACTTATCATCTATCTCGGGTGATGAAAGAATATATATTTTTGTATTTATTCTATTTATTCATATTCTTAGGAGGGTTTAGTGGTATGGTATATATATATAACTTATATAATATATATATACTGTATATAGAAAGCGAAAGAGGATTAAGTAAAGTCGTGAAAAAAAAAGTGAAAAAAATTTTCAAAAAAATGATGAACGAAATGTCTTTTTGATTGTGTTTGTGATTTGTGTTTGTGCTTTACGATTAATAGAATTCGATATTAAAATTCTTCGAAGTTTTATAAATTAAAGTGTTTTTTATTTGTTTTTTTTTTGTCTAAGAAAAAAATTAAATTTATTTTTGAAGCTATTGTACAAGTTTCTTTTTTTTTAATTAAAAAAAAAAAAATTTTTTATCACCAAAGGTTTACCAGAATCTTTGATGAAAAATTTTTTCCATTCTGTTCTTTTTTTTTACCGAATAATTTTACATCGTTTCAAATATCTATTTTTTAATTAATATATATATATATATAAAATTAGAAAATTAATAAATTATAAAATCAATAAAAAAATAAATAAATTAATAATAAATTAAGCTTACCCAATCTTCCATTGAAGCATCTTCAATTGCTAAATCATCATCTTTGTGAAGAAATTTAACAATCCAATCATCCCATAAAGAATCCGAAGAAATCCTTTGGTCTGAAGAAATGATTTTATCATTAGAAGAGGTGGTGGTAATTGTATCGGAAAATGAACTTCCTTGTCGAGAATGAGTTCTTGAACGATTAATATTTTCATTATGATAATTAAATTTAGCTGCTACCGCACTAGCTGCTGCTCCTACATGAGGAGTAGAAGTTTTAAGTACGGAAGAATTTTCTCTACTATGTTGATATTGTTGATATTCATTCTTTAAACGATTAATTCTTGGTTTATAATTTCCTCTGGTTGAAGATGACGATGAAGTAGAAGAAGTGAAGGAGGAAGGGGATGAAACACATTCGGAAGGTTTATATTCTATATTATAAAGTAATCGACCTTGTGCTGAAGAAACAGTAACTTGAACAGCAGTTAAATCTGCTTGACTATCAATAGTATCACCAATTGTAATGCTATCTTCATTGACTCGAAGGCAAGCATTTTGTCCATACCATTGGAGGGCCATCTTTTTTAATTATAAATGTTTTTTTTTTTTGCTAATAATTTCTATAATATATTTCACTTTTGTTGCCAATAATTAATACTTTTTTTTTTTTGAATAATTTTTTGTGAATAAAAAAAAAAAAGTGGCAAAAATGAGCTATATATTTATAGAGATTTTTTTTTTTTATTCTAAATATATTTTTGTTATTATCTAAAAATCTGGTAAATGATCTAGGAGATGGCTTTTTTTTGAATTTTTTTTTTTCGAGAGAGAAAAAGATTTGCACTCATTTATATTAAAATTTCGACAATCATATGAAGTTAAGTATAAATTAAAGTGAGAAGTTAAAAAGTATATTAAAATGTATAATTAAAATGATTACACAAAAGGATAATATATATATTTTAATGTAAAATAATGGTATATTTTTATTGAATGCAAGGAATGTTGAATATGCGATTATCGAAACCTGTTTGTAAACTGAACTGCAAAACATAACTGCACCTTTACTATTATACTCACCTACTGTAACTCTCTCTTTTTTTTTGTTGATAAGCCTATTGAATATATTGTTGTATTATTGCAGTATTGATATTTTGTAGTATTCGATACAGTATTGATATTTTGTAGTATTGAATTTTTGTATAGTATCGTATCGATGATACTTTTTTTATTTGATGATATATAATTCTTTTTTTGTATTGATATGTTGTGACAGGATAAAATACATGAAATAAAATAAAATAAAGAAAACGAATTTAAAATAAAAATAAAAAAGTAATTATTATTATAAAAAATACAAAAATAACTTGATTCCATTATTTTTTTGTTTCTTATAAAGTATTTTTTTTTGTTTCAATATTGAAATTATTATTGGGAAATTATTCTAATATTTAATATGAGATATTAATAGATATATTGTGACATACTTTACTTTTACATGTTGTGATATATCATATATGATATGTGATCATGTCATGATTGAGAATCATGTCATGTGGCAATTTAAGAAAAATTAAAAAATGCATAACTAATTCAATAATGATATAATAATGGTAAGATGGTAAAGAAAGAAAGAAACGAGAAAACACAATAAGATAATAAAAGGAAAATAAATAACTACCTCTTTCGTTACTTCATTACTGCAAACTATTCCGAAAAATCACAGAAAATTTATTGCAAATTACTTTAAATTACTAAATTAAGTTATCAACCTAATTGCTGCAGAATTTTTTTTTATATATAAGAAATAATAATAATAATAATAATAATAAATAATAGTAAATAATAATGATGCATTGAAGATCTTTATTCAAAGAATGTTTAGAATGATTTTTTGGTTGTTATATTTATTTAGCTATTTTGTATTATCGTAATGTGCCGTGCCTTGTGTGTTAGGTGGTGTATTAGGTTTATATGCAATTGATAATGTCTTGTGCTTTTTACCAAATATATATATATCAAATATATCATCAACCATATTAGAATATAATTAATATAATTTAAAAGGGGTAAGCAGGATACGTGGCATTTAATTAAAAAAAGAATTTCATGAGATAAATTATAAATTGTAAAAAGTCACTTGACATAAATTAAAAAATTGATACATACAATAATCTCAAAACTTATATCTTACATGTTCGCATTTCTAATATCAAACTGCCAAGGATCCAAAAAAAAAAAAAAAAAATACAATACAATACAATTTAATAATTAATTTTAATTAATTTTAATTTACTTCTTTTTTACTTTTTATTATTGAATTAGTGTGGTGTGACTTTATTAAATATGAGTTTGTAAAAAATTACATCACCATGAGATCAAAATTTAGTGTAATCAGAATCACAACAAATTTAAATAATCTTTATTACTATTAATAAACCTTTTCATTTAAAAAGGAAAAATGTATTATTATACTAACATCCAAATTTTTCTTTGTTGTCAATTATATTAAAAAATTATTAAATTCATTTTCATGTCTTGTAAAATATTCAAAATAATTTATCCCGATATATTAGAATCAAAATATATATGAATTTTAGGCCGAGGTAAAAATATTCTTCAAAAAGCTTTTAGTTTAAAATATATGTAGATTAACTAAGAATTCTAGATCAACAAACAGTGACCTCAGATTGATTTGGTCATTTAATTTAACCAATCATAATTTTCACCTCCAATAAATTATGTCAAAATGACCTGGTTAATTAAATGTGACATTATAATTTTGACCATTTTGATATGACTAGGTCATTCGAAGGTCATTATAAAGTCATTCGTAATTATTTCAAGAATAATTATGTGATTTAATTAATTATTATATATCACAAATTAATTTTTTTTTAATAAAAAAAAATGACAACAATTAAGAGAATTGAAAAAAAAAAGAATTGGGGTGAGAAAATAGAGAATATGAAAATGATGTAACGATGTTGAGAAAGAAGAGTAAGCCGAGTTGAGTGATAGAATGAGGTTCTGGAATAATAATGATAATGAACAAATTTCATTTCATTTGAATAATCATTTGGTATATTGTTTATAACTTAACTTTAACTAACGTGTGCTTTTTTTTTCCTTCAATAAATTATTTTTAAATCAACTTTCTTTTATCATTTCTTTTCATTACATACGTAATTGATTAATTCCTTTATTCTTTTTGTCTCTCTTTTATCCATTTTTATCTTTTTGTTAATTATTTATATCTTATTGTCAACAGAACAACCACAATTTGTAAAGATTGTGCTGTCACTATAAAATAAAACCACTAAAAATTACATAATTTCATTATAATTTTTCAATTTCAATTTCACCTTAAATTTACAAGTAAATACATAGATTAGAGATAGATTAAAAGTATGTGTGATTATGTGTGATTATGTATATGGGACAATGATATACTTTAATCCCATACTGGATAAGATGATAATAATTAGATATCTCTATTTTTGAGATAATTATTTATATTTTATTTATTTTTATTTCAAATATTTATTTTTATTTTATTTATTTATTTATTTTATTTAATCTATATTATATTTAATTCCTAATTAATGTTTATTGTAAGTGTGGCTTGCTAAAAAGAGACAATAATATTGATGGCGTACAACTACCTATTTTTCATTTTCGTTTTGATCTGTTTATTATTATCAATTATTATCAATTATAATCTATTTTTTTTTTTTACGAATTATTACGAATTATTACGAATTATTACAATGATCTGACCATCCGCCACAAAGAAATTTTTTTTGTTTTACCCCCCGCGAAAATGAATTTTAAAAATGAATAAAATGATAAACCATTTCGTAAATTAATATTTTCTTTCCTTTTTGTCTTTTGCGAACCAAATGTGTTATGTTGATGATTTTTTTGAAGGGAACGATGATCTTTCTATTCTTCATGTAAAATCAGACCATAAATAATTTTTTTTTTTTGGCGCCAATTTGATAATAATGAACGAGTACACGATATCCCAGATAGTAAATATATGATATAAAAGATAACAGATCATATGTATAATAATTTCCCGATTTTAGATTTTTGTTTCATAGTCACAAGATGTTTGATGCACAAGAATATTGTGAATATATCATTTATCCTTATGAAAGGCGAATGAGAATTTAATAAAGCGAGAACCTAAAAATCATTGAATAATAGGTCATATGTAATTATTATCGTTAATAATCTTATCTTAATATCCATAATCTTTAATCTTTGTCAAAGCCTTAACAATATGAACGATAATGATAGATGACAATAATAGAAATAATACATGATAATGATAGTCGTTATCAATAGAAGTTTCGTTATTTTCTTCACATGTGACATCGTTCGAATCGATCAAGTGACAGATTGACAAATATCTTATAGATCTGTTGATATGAAGATTGAAAGATTATTATCCATATACAATATATTTTAATCGACAAAAAAAAAAAAAGAAAGATTTTCTTTAGGATAATTCGAGTAACTGTGTACAAAGTACATATTTCATTTATTTCATATAACATATTTGCATTAGATTATAACGAAATGTTTATATAAACGTGCCATGATTTCATGACTTCCTTTTTTAAAAATATTATTTTGTTATTACTTATTTCTGTATTATCATCGGTTATACTCCTTCAATTCATACAACAACAATAATAAAAAGTTTCATTGAAAGATTATTCGTCTTCGTATTTTTGCTTTGTCAAATTCCCATAAAAAAAAAATAGTAAAATAATCCTGTCATAATAACAATTCCCCCTACTAATTATGGAATAAAATGGAATAAAATAAAATAAAATAGAATAGAATAAAATAGAATAGAATGGTCACTAAAAATAAAAAGGAAAAAGGAAATTAAAAAGATAAAAAAATAATGTAATTCTCCATTTATGGTAATAAAATGAATGGTAAAATGACTGGTGGTAAAAAAAAAACACGTTTCCATCACAAATATTTACTTTTAATCACTTATTACATTCGTATCATTCTTTAATTACATAATACCAAATTAGTTTTGTAACCTCCGCTGACCTAAAGTAATAAAAAAAAATATTATGACAAATTTATGCATATGATGCATATGAAAAAAAATTTAAATGTTTTTTTTTTTTAAAGTTAATAATTAGAAATCATTTCATTTAACTGCTAAATATAAATCATTTTTCCATTAGTATTTCTTTTTTGGGTACGTACAAAACAAATGAAAAAGCTTTAATACAAAAATTTATTCGAAACTTTTTTTTTTTAATTTATTGAAGAAGGAAAATCTTGTAAATATTTAATTTTAATAATTTCTGATTACAAAGAAAAATAATACTCTTTGAAACAAATCATTAATCCTTTTATAAGGTCAAACAATAAATAGGCTTTCTTTTTTTATAAAATTCTTTAACACATTATTTTTCATAATAATAATAATAATGGCGTTTCCATCGATTCCTTCGATTCCTTCTATCTCTAAATCAATTACTAAATCAATTAAATATTTTATATTTGGAATTCTTATTTTGAACATAAAATACTTTAAGATTTTTACAAATGACCTCAAAACTACTGATTAAAAAATATACTAATTATCAAAAAAAAAAAATAATAAAGATTTATTTAAGACATATGAAAGGAGTAGTTTTGTTTTTCGTAGATGATATTTAGTATTTTTTTTTTTTTTTTTTTTTTTTTTTTAATTAAAAGTTCAAAAATCTTAATTATTATTTTTATGGGGGTAGTTGGACACAAAATTTCACATGAACAATGAATACATATTAATCAATTCTTTATTTTTAATAATTTTCATTTAATAATATTAATAATAATGATAGGTCTTACAATAAATATTTGGATTGGGCTCGTGTAGAATTTGTGATGTTGCAATTTCCTGAAGCATTTAGAGAACCAAATTTGAGTGATTAATACACAATATTATTTTATTATTATTATATTATTACTATTAAAACATCTGGCATTTTATTTATTTTTAACTATTTTTTTTTTTGATTACTAATTGCTCAAAGGCGTTTCGATATATTTTAAAAAGGAAATTCCTCCTTTCTCGACATACAAAATATAAACCAAACTTTTATAACTTGAAATGAAAAATGGGTTTTATTGTTTCACTGTTTCATAACAGAATCAAAAAATAATTCAAACAAAAAAAAATACCATTGATCATACTAATAACAACAGTAATAATATAGTGCACACTACTTAAAGACTGCAATAAATTTGATAATTTTTAAAAAGTTATAGAACCTGATACAGAGGTAATATCAAAAAAAAAGAAAGCTGACATTTTGAAGCTAAATTAATTTACTACAAACTGTAGGCTTCTTTTTGAAAAAATAATTACTTATTAGCATCTTAAAAATACACTATTTTTATATGATCAATGTCCAGTGGGAAAAACGTGATCTAACAATCACGTGTATTAATTTCGATTGGTTAATTATGTTATCACATTTTATCTCAGCGAATGATCAAATTCAGTATACATAAATCGATTTCTTGGTTCATTTAGATTCAGAAATGGGACTAATTACATGATTTCAGTTCTTAAGTGAGTGATATTAATGTTCATGCGATAGGAATTACAAAATTAATATTTAAAGATAAAAATGGTAAAACGATAACTCCAGAACAATTTTTTGATAAATTTGGATTTAAATGAAGAATCAGAGAAGAAATTAGAAAAAGAAAGGATTGAGGGATTATTTGAATTCGAAAAATTTACTGATTATTGTGTAGGTAAAGGTAAAGATAATTTAGAAAAATGAAAAGGTTATTTCCAAACTTTAAAAATTTTTTCTTTTATGTATGTTTGAATTCACGATTTTTGGACAATTTCATTAACAAAAAATTGATATGTAAAATAAATCAAGATGGAATCCAAAACATAGTAATTTGCCATTTTCTATCATATCATGATGTACAATTAACGATTAATCAATATACATAATAGGATATAATAATTAGAGTTTTGCCGATATAGCTCTATCTGATTCCGCTTCGAATTCGTATAAAGCTGGAAATTTTATCCATTATTATGTGAATTACAATGAGAAAGAGATTGAAATAAAACATATTAAAGTAATAATAAAGTAAACATTATTTTTTAATTACATAGTTCTAATAAAAATGTGATAACATGAATTTATGCAGATGAACGTTAAAAGTTTTATAGCATCTTAAAGTGCCCGATGGTCATAAAAAAAAATTTTAAAAAAAAAAATAAGGAATCTTTTCGTTAACTGCTAAATATATGATTTCATCATCATTTAGTTCTTTGGTATTTCTTTTTCAAGAGTATGTACAACAAAACAAATGAAAGCTTGAATACAAAATTATTCATTTTAATTTTTAAAGGAAAATCTTATAAATATTTGAATACTGTAATTTGTAAAAAAAATTACAAATCAAAAATCCTTTTTATAATAATAAGGTTTGATTGTCAAAATGAAAAATAACAATAAATACGTAGATTTTCCTTTTTTTTTTTTATTTCCTCTTAAAATTTCCTTTAAATTTCTTTAACACATTATTTTTCATAATAAATAATAATAATAATAATGATGACGTTTCCATCGATTCTATCGATTCCTTCGATTCCTTCGATTCCTAAACCAATTTCTAAATCAATTAAATATTTTATATTTGGAATTCTTATTTTAAACATAAAATCTTTACCATTCGTACATACTTTAAGGTATATACCAATGAGTTCAAAATTTCTGATTAAAAAATATACCAATTATAAAAAAAAAAATAAAAATTTATTTAAGGCATTTGAAAGGAGTCATTTTGTTTTTGTGGACGATGTTTAGTATTATCTTTATTCTTTTTTTTTTTTTTTAATTAATAATTTAGTTTAAAGTTTAATTATTATTTTTTTTTTTTACGGGGAGCAGTTGGACACGAATCTTCATTTGAACAATGGGTACAATTAATCAATTCTTTTTTATTTTTTTTTGATTTTATTATTAATTATTTTCATTTGATAATAATAGATCTTATAATAAACATTTAGATTGGGCTCGTACAGAATTTTTGATGTTGCAATTTCCTGAAGCAATTAGAATACCAAATTTTACTATTGGTTTGAGTGGTAATATATAATATTATTTTTATTATTATTCATTATTATTATTATTCAAACCATTTGTTATTATTCATTTTAACTAATTTTTTTTTACTAATCGTTTAAAGGCGTTTCGATGTATTTTAAAAAGGAAATTCCTCGGTTCTCAGCATACAAAATACAAACCAAAATCTTAACTTGGAATAAAAAATGGATTTTCTTGCTTCACCGTTTCATAACAGAATCAAAAAATAATAATTCTGATAATACTAATATTGACGTTCATTCGGTAGGAATATCAAAAATAGTATTTAAAGAAAAAACTAAAACGTTAATTCCTGAACAATTTTTTGATGAATTTGGATTTAAATGTGAAACGGAAGAATTAAAAATCAAAAGAGAAGAAATTAGAAAGAAAGGATGGAAATTTATTGAGGGATTATTTGAATTCGAAAAATTGATTGATTATTGTGAAGATGAAGATAGAGATTATGAAGAAGATTATTTAGAAAATGAGAAAGTTATTTCCAAACTTTAAAAATATGGATAAATTCCGATTTATGTAAGAACCGGACAATTTCATTGATATAAATTGAGGATATAATATAATATAATAATATAATTAGATTTTTGCCGATATGACTCTTTCTATGATTTCGCTGACTCTTTCTTCTGCTTCGAATTCGTTTACATAATAATTATGACTTATAAAGCTAGAAATTGTTTCCATTTTTATGTATAAAGTAAGCATTATTTTTTAATTATATATAAAAATGTGATTACATAATTTATGCAGGATGAATTTTTAATACAATTTGTAAGGAAAATCTTATAAATATTTGTAAAATCATGATTGTCAAAAATGAAAAAAAAAACATTTTCTTTTTTTTTTATTTCCTCTTAAAATTTCCTTTAACACATTATTTTTTCATAATAAATAATAATAATAATAATAATAATAATAATGACGTTTCCATCGATTCCTTCGATTCCTAAACCAATTTCTAAATCAATTAAATATTTTATATTTGGAATTCTTATTTTAAACATAAAATCTTTACCATTCGTACATACTTTAAGGTATATACCAATGAGTTCAAAATTACGGATTAAAAAATATACCAATTATAAAAAAAAAAATAAAAATTTATTTAAAGCATTTGAAAGGAGTCATTTTGTTTTTGTGGACGATGTTTAGTATTATCTTTATTCTTTTTTTTTTTTTAATTAAAAATTTAATTTAAAGTTTAACTTAATTATTATTATTTTTTTTTTTTTACGGGGAGCAGTTGGACACGAATCTTCATTTGAACAATGGGTACAATTAATTAATTTTTTTTTTTTTTTTTTTAATTTATTATTAATTATTTTCATTTAATAATAATAGATCTTACAATAAACATTTAGATTGGGCTCGTGCAGAATTTTTGATGTTGCAATTTCCTGAAATAATTAGAATACCAAATTTTACTGTTGGTTTGAGTGGTAATTATAATATTATTTTTATTATTCAGTTTATTATTATTATTATTATTATTCAAAACATTTGATATTATTTATTTTAACTAAATTTATTTTACTAATCGTTTAAAGGCGTTTCGATGTATTTTAAAAAGGAAATTCCTCCTTTTTCATCATACAAAATACAAACCAAAATTTTAACTTGGAATAAAAAATGGATTTTTTTGCTTCACCGTTTCATAACAGAATCAAAAAATAATAATTCAAATATTGCTAGTAATAACAATAATAATAGTGATATTAACGTTCATTCGGTAGGAATATCAAAAGTAGTAATTAAAAAGAAAACTAAAACTTTAATTCCTGAACAATTTTTTGATGAATTTGGATTTAAATGTGAAACGGAAGAATTAAAAATCAAAAGAGAAGAAATTAGAAAGAAAGGATGGAAATTTATTGAGGGATTATTTGAATTCGAAAAATTAATTGATTATTGTGAAGATAAAGATAGAGATGATGAAGAAGATTATTTAGAAAATGAAAAAGTTATTTCCAAATTTTAAAATATGTTTAAATTCGCGATTTATGTAAGAACCGGACAATTTCATTGATATAAATTGAGGATATGTATAATAATATAATAATAGAATTGTCTGGAGGACAATTTACTAATGTGAAAATAATGATTACGTTGTCCATCTTCCGTTTTCGAGAATCTGATTGGTTGTTGATCGCCTACATAATTGTTATTATAAAATCATTGTTATATTTATTGTAAAATCATAAAATAAATTAATTTTACTTTTTTGATAAATTTAAATTGTAATTAAATTAAATATGTACTGCTCCGGATTTCGTTTCCTAGTATATACAGTAGTATGATACAATATAATAATATAATATAATATGATATAAGCCGATATGACTCTTTCTTCTGCTTCGAATGCGTTTACATAATAATTATGATTTGAAATTGTTTCCACTATTATGTGAATAATAATGAGAAAGAGAGAGTTGAAGATAATGATTATTATTAGCTTGAAATAAAATACCACATACTAAAAAAGAAAATAATGAAATTTCCCATTATGGTAATAAAATGAATGGTGTCATTATTATTTTTAATTACATAATGACATAAATTTATGCATAAAATGGTACGACAAAAAAAAATGAAAAAGCCAAAATTTTATTCAGAATTTTTTTTTTTTTCGATTAATCGGAGAGAAAAAGATTGTAAATATTTGTAAATATATTATTAATTTCTGGTTACAAAGAAAAATAATATTCTTGAAAAAAATTACTAAAGCAGGAAATCATTAATCCTTTTACAAGGTTTGATTGTCCAAATGAAAAAAATCACGATAAATAGATTTTCATTTTTTTAAAAAATTTCATTTTTTTTTTTATTTCCTCTTAATTAAGTTTTCTTCTGGATTTCTTTAACACATCATTTTTTTCATAATAATAATAATAAATAATAATGACGTTTCCATCGATTCCTAAATCAATTAAATATTTTATATTTGGAATTCTTATTTTAAACATAAAATCTTTACCATTCGCATATTTTTTAAGATATTTACCAATGGCTTCAAAATTACAGATTAAAAAATATACCAATTATAAAAAAAAAAATAAAGATTTATTTAAGACATTTGAAAGGAGTCATTTTGTTTTTGTGGACGATGTTTAGTATTATTATCTTTTTTCTTTTTTAATTTAAAAGTTTAATTTCTTAAATCTTAATTATTTTTATTATTATCTTTTTTTACGGGGAGTAGTTGGACACGAATTTTCACATGAACAATGGGTACAATTAATTAATTCTTTTTGTTTTTTTTTTCTTTGATTTTATTATTAATTATTTCCATTTAATAATAATAATAATAATAATAGATCTTACAATAAACATTTGGATTGGGCTCGTTTAGAATTTATAATGGTACAATTTCCTGAAGGAGCTAGAATACCAAATTTTACTTTTGCTACGAGTGGTAAAATAAAAAATATTATTATTATTATTATTATTATTTCAAAACATCTGATATTTTATTTATTTTAACAAATTTATTTTATTTTATATAAAGTCGTTTCGATATATTTTAAAAAGGAAATTCCTCCTTTTTCATCATACAAAATACAAACCAAGCTTTTAACTTGGAATAAAAAATGGATTTTCTTGCTTCACCGTTTCATAACAGAATCAAAAAATAATAATTCAGATAATGCTAATAATAACAATAATAATAATATTAACGTTCATGCGGTAGGAATAACAAAATTTGTATTTAAAATGAAAAATAAAACGATGATTCCTGAACAAATTTTTGATGAATTTGGATTTAAATGTGAAACGGAAGAATCAAAAATCAAAAGAGAAGAAATTAGAAAGAAAGGATGGAAATTTATTGAGGGATTATTTGAATTCGAAAAATTAATTGATTATTGTGAAGATAAAGATAGAGATGATGATGATTTAGAACATGAAAAAGTTATTTCTAAACTTTAAAAATGAATATTTTCAGTTTCGTTAATAGAAATTAAGGATATATATAATATTTATTAGCAAGACGGAATAATAATTTTGCCATTTTCTATAATATACAACGAAACACGAATTAACGATCAATATAATATGATCTAATATACAATAATATACAATAATTAGAGTTTTGCCGATATAACCCTATCTATGGTTTTATTAACTCTTTCCTCTCCTTCGAATTCGGTTACAAAATAATTATGACTTAGAAAGTTCGAAATTGTTTCCACTATCATGTAAATTATGACGAGAAAGAGAAAGAGAATGAATTAAAACTCTGAAGATATTATAGATTTAATTGATTAATTATTAACTTGAAATAAAACATCAAAAGTTATACATACTAGTTTCTTGGGGTTTTTCCAGTGGCACCTACAGATAGACAAAAAAAATAAATAAATTATAATATAAAATATAATATCAATTTAATTTATACAATTATTCTTACCAAATGTCCACAATCAATAGTTATTAAATGACCATTTTTACATCTAGAAGCTTTAAATAATGCTAAATCTTGTGAACTTTAGCAAGAATTGAAATAAAAAAAAAATATTTAAATAATTATTAATTAAATATTTAGGGAAAAAATTGGAATATAATAATTATAATGTAAATATGAATTATAGTATTTACTTAATTAAGAAGGAACCTGAACCAATAATAAATAATACTGAACAATCAATTTCTGGTAATCCTGAAAAGGCATCAAATACGGTATCGTTATCATGCCCAAAGACATACTAAATATATATAAATAAAGAAAAATAAAGTTTTGAGTGAGATTTGAAAAAATTAAAATAAAGATAAAATTCATTAAAATTCATCTTACAGATTCTTGATCTTTAGGGCATTTAAGAGTTACTTCTCCGGAAGGTAAATCTCTTAAACCATATTGCTAGAATAACAAAAAAAAAATTTCATATATTATTATTTAATAGTAACAAATTAAAAAATAAAATAAAATAAATAAATAAATAAAGAATTTACAAGATAAGCTCACTCACAATATGAAGATCTAATACTTCCGAATCCCAAGCCTTAAAAAAGGCGTGTCTCAAAAAACTACCTTTTGCTGCTTCTCTTTAAGAAAAAGATTTTTTAAAATTTAATAAAAAATATCGTAATAAAAAATAAAAAATATTATAAAATATAATTATTACTATACCTATTTGGCCATACATCTCTTCTAGATAAAATTGACGAAAAAGATTTATATTCATTCATTCTGAAAGGATAAAGTACAGGATCAATTGATACAAGAGCTGAAAAGGTACCAGGACGAAAGATCTCTGCCATCAACCTAGAAAAAAAATAAATTAATTTATATTCAATATATTTGAATAATAATAAAATTCAACAATAATAATATTATTATTATTATATTTTTACATTGCGCATCCTCCCATTGAATGTCCAACTCCAACGATAGGACCTTTAATCTTAAAGTGATCAATAATTTGAAGAATATCACGTGCATTATCGGTCCACTTGACTAAATGAAAATAAAAAATGAAAAGTAAATAAATTTTTCTAAAAGAAAAAATTAAGAAATATATAAATAAATGCTTACAAGAATTCGGTAAAATATCTTGATTTAAGATCGCACTATCACCGTGATTCGTTGCATCGAAGGCATACATAGTTCCACCACTCCAACTTTTTCCTCTTTTCTCATTTAAACCTCTTATAATAGGTTCCCAAACTTCTTTATGATAACCTGTAGCATGAGCGAATATTATTGTTATTCTTGAATTATCATCGTTATCATTTTCATTATCATGATGATTTTCAATTACGGAATTATAAGAATTTACGGATATACGCAATGGTCTATTTTTATCATTACTATTAAATACACGAATTGGTGAAGCGGGAATTACATGAGTGGCAAATTTTAATTCTGGTGCCATTTTTTTAAAAAAGATTCCGCCTCGGTTTTAATAGCTTATATATAGATTAGATTAGATTTTCTTTATTTAGTATTATAAATTTTGTATCACAATATATTTTCCCACATCCATTTAAAATGACCAATTGAATTTGATGGAAATTATAATTACCCTGAACCCAAAGCTTTTTCTTTTTTCGAATTAATTAAATAATATTTTTGTACATCATGTTTTTCTTTTATTATTAACGAATATTTCTCAACAATAAAGTGAGATTGTCAAGTATAAAGAGTTATCTCTTTTGCGCAACTATCAATGTAATAATATTTAAGAAATTTTGTCGTTTATTTTTAATAATGAAGAATAGATTAAAAAAAGGATAGTTTGCAAAAAAATTTCATGACTTACAGATTCCTCTGCGCTTTTTTGAGCCCGAACAATATATGAAAGATAGTTTTAATTCTGAGCATTGTAATCACGCAGAGTCTTATCGCCTTACCCTTAAAGACAAGTTGTTGTTGATTGGATGAAAATGCCAATTCTTACCTCTTTCGATAGTCGAATTTGGAAAATAGTTTTTCCAGTTTATTCTTTTCATAAATTGGTACTTCCAATATTACAATTTATAGTTCAAATTTGCATATTTTACAAAATAAAAAATTTTAAACGTAGAGTGGATTCTTTTTCAATGTCATAATTATTGTTATCACCAAGAATTTCTTCAAAGAAAATGAAATTGTTTTATTTTTGAAATTTATCATAAGGTACAAAAATTTTTTCTCCCTTAAAGGGTTTACACGACGTGATCGATTCGTGTGTGTTTATTCCAAATCAAAGAGACTACATATATGTATAACTATATCTTGATAAGCAAAATGGAATGCATAATTTATAGAATCCAGCGTTTTCAATCTTTCAAATTGATAAAATTCCTACCTTTATTATTTCAATTCAATGCTTTGTTTGCTATTCTCGATTTAAAGATAATATATACATATTTAATAGTTGAAAAAAATGTCTAGTTTACAATTTTTGAATCTTCTACTTAAATATATTAGTAATCTAAGTTTTACTGAGCATCTGGATCAATTACCCGCAAAAATAAGTACATTCTAACTCTATAAATAGGTAAAATTCACAAAAATCATCGTAAAAGTTATATAGTTGAGTACTATAAACAGCATAGCGAGTTCTCGCCACAATAATATAATCGAGTGTAGTCGGAATTTTATTCTTTTTATCATAATTGATTTCCACATTAACTCAAATATTTCATGACCTAAACATTTAAATGAATATCAGATTCTTTTTGAATGTTGTAATATTGTTGTCATTAAGAATAGGGTCTTTTTGATCTCAACCTTGATATATTGCGCCACGCACGTGATATCCTAACATCTGGTCAGTAAGTTTACATGTTTTTATTTATAAAATTTTATATTCTGCAACAACATTAGAGTAATATCCTGATTTGTATCAAGAATTCAATAATAAAAATGCCGCTGTGCAAATTAAAGCATGACGATGAAGGTATCGAAGGCAGATATGAATCTGGTTTTTATTATATTAAATGTGAGCATGAAATTGAATAATTTCTTTCTTATTAATCCACCATTTACAAAGTAAATAACCACTCCAATATATGTAAGATTAATAGCCAAAACGTAAAATGTATGTACTAGAAGCTTTCCATTGACTATAATATGATTCTCATCTATTTTATAAATCCCATCCTTGATATTCTGGATTATTCCATAAATCTCCCTGCGCGTTTTATCGAGGTGGGCGATGAATTCCTCATCAAATTTTTTTGATGCTTCTAGAGCATCTTCTAAATTTTTTTCTTTCCATTACTCCGACCATAGCAATAAATGCGATACCTATAATGATTAATGCGATTATTTCTCCGCAAATGAATGTTATGATAGACAAAATAATATAAGGAAAACAAGTCATTGTGAATAAAATGAACACAATGATAATGCCTGAAAGTATCTAACTTATCATCTAACGCTTTGGATATCTTCGCTATTATTTATAGATCCATTTTCTTAATGGCTCCCTCTAAATTCCTGATTCCAATATCTTTCCCTATCTTGGAAACCTTATTCTTTGCATCTTCCAATACTTTCATGATTTCGTTTAGCACATTTTGTATCGTGTGAATCAAAATCATATTCGAGTAGACAAAGAACTCAATCTGGTCTTCTCTTTCGTACTTTATCGTTGAATAATGCACACAAAAGAATCTTTGAAGACGTTGAAACTCTGACGGAACTTGGCCTGATAGTATACCACTTTCCGCCTCATCTTTACGTTTTGCGAAAAAATAAATCTGTAAAGGACATGATGAATATTATAACCTGAATACTAATGTATTAAAGAAAAATTCGGTTTTAAGAAGAAATAACTAAAATTTATATATGACAAGGAACCACATGAAGGTAACATTGCAGATTTGCATACTATTGTGAAATGTCAAATTTGTAATTTATTTCTTTATTTATTTCTTTAAAAATATATTACGGTATACAGCATTATGACATTACGGAATTTATATTACTGTGTCGTAATAATTACGGCTTAGCCGAAAATGCCGAATTTCGCATCTTTGACTCAGGTGTCACCTTTGGCCAGAATTATAAAACTGACCTATGTAGATTCTTTTAACTTAGCCAACCCTAACCCTAACTTTGGTCAGTTGACACCCAGACATACATAATATTATTTGAAAAATTAATCGGTACGGTTTTCTTTTAAAAATAAATTTCTACTCAATTGTTTATATACGCATAATTTTCATTTTATAGAATCAATCTTAAGAACTGATAATATTCGCAAATAATTTATATCTTTATTAATTTAATTCAATGTTCTGCTTACTATTTTCGATTGAAAGAGTACTCGGATAAAATATATATTTAATTAGAAAATAAAATAAACCATAAACAAATATCGAAATATGTTGATTCAATAGTTGAAAAAAATTCCATAGTCATTGACTATTTTACAATCTTTGAATCTTTGCAAAATTTTGTCATCTATTTAAATATATTAGAAATTCGAAAATCTAACCTCCTTTGAATCTCGGAAACATTTGAATTGTAGATTCCTTCAAAATATTGTAATCCCCTAGGGTCTTACCTTTCTCAAGTTGTTTACCCGCAAAAATAAGTCTTTGATATTCAGGTGGAGTACCATCCTTGTCCTGAATTTTCATCTTAAATTGATCAATAGTATCACTTGAGTCAAATTGCAAAGAAATGGTTTTTCCTTTAGGAGTTTTCACAAAAATCTCTGCAATAGGAATTCTATCACAAGTAATCGTTGAGTCATCTTGGATATTATAATCAGAGAGTTTTCGATCGTCTTCCAATTCTTGGTCACGGAGATATAATTTAAAATAAGCGTTAATATCGGGAATTTTATTCTTTATATCTTTGATGGTGTCTGTGGGTTTAACTCCAATCTTTAGAATTTTTATAGTACTTGAAGTTTTATAACTGATTTCCACATTAATTCGCATATTTTCGCAAAGCAAATATCTTAAATGAATAGTGGATTTATTTGGAATGCTATAGGAAGCAATTGTATTGCTGTCATCAAGAATTTCTCCAAAGTAATGAAGTCTTTGACTATTTGGAGAGACTCCACGACGTTTTTCAATAAGTTGTTTTAGCTTTGAAATTTTTTCAGAAGGGTAAATTTCAATTGAAAATGGTTTTACCTTCAAGGTTTCTACGTAAATTTTCATCTTTAAAAAATAGTAAAACGGAGCGAAATGGGTATGCAAGTTTGAATGATCTTTGGTCACTTTTTATTTAAAAATCGGACCTTTTTCTTTTACTCCATTTAGAAAAAAAAAATAATCGATATTATACAAAGAACCAATTAAAGATTTATTTATATCTGTTAAGCATTCATTACATTTTATAGTATTACTATATTCTGAATTTAAATAATTGGAATACCTTTCTTTTCATAAATTAAATCTTCACTATTAATAGAAAAACTTGTGTAATCAGATCTTACTCGGATCTTTTTCTTTTACTCCATTTAATCCTTATTTATGGTGTGTTCACATTTGGTTGAGGTTAATTGTTTTATCCAAAATCCAAATCTGGATCAATAATAAAATTTCGGACAAAATTCCATTAAATATTTCCTTGAATCCAAATAATAAACAATAAAATTTCGGATATCAAATTCCTGAATGCGAATAACTCCAAATCTGGATTAATAATAAAATTTCGAAAAAGAAGAGATCTGACTTCCTCTGAGACTCAGAACCGAATGAAACACAGATTCCTTCTGAATATTGTAATCATCCAGGTCCTGCCATCTTCAAGTTGCTTACCTTAAAAAATAAGTTGTTGACTTTCAGGCGTAATACCCCCCCCTTTCCTGAATCAACTCCTTAAATAAAACTTAATTCAACTTGCAAAGTAATTGTTTTTCCAGTTGTAAGTTTTATTCTGTCTCTTTCTGCATTAAAATTTATATTACAAATTATAGTCGAACCGTCTTGGATATTATAATCAGAGTATTTGATTGTCTTCTAATTCTTGGCCAATATAATATAATTGAGCGTAGTAGTTAATATGTCTCTGAAGGTGTCTGTGTAATTTTATTACCCGTAGCTCCGTGACTAATTCCACATATTTTCGCGAAGCAAATATATTAATTGACTATTGGATATCATGTGGTTATATTTAACGATTAAAAATAGAAATTTGTCATACGGCATGTTTTTTTACAATTACTCATGTGGGTAAAATATTCAGCATATTTTTTTTCTAGAACAGAATCTTAAGAATCAGAATAGATGTTATTTAAAAAAATAAAAATCAAAGAGGTAATGCAAAGAATAATTAAATGTTTGTTAAACGCTCATTAAAAATGTACCGCATACAATGTAAGGGATAAGTTAAAGATCATGACATGAATTATATCCCGTATTGAAATCCACATATGTAAAGTCGATTACTCAGGGTACATGTGAATCTTTTACGCGGAAAATGCATTTTATAGAATCAAAAATAATTTCTTTACTTAAATAATTTATATTTAATTAGATAATAAAACTTAACATCATATCATAAATATGTAAAATCAATAGTTAAAAAAATTCCGTAGTCACTGACTAGTTTACAATCATTGAATCTTTAGAGAAGTTTAATAAACCTTATTCCGAAGTCTCTTGACCAAATGAATAGTAGATTCTTTGCGAATTTTGTAATACCCCACGGTCCTATCATTCTCAAGTTCTTTACCCGCAAAAATAAGTCGTTGATCGCAAGGTGCAATCTTTTCCTTTTCCTGAACTAACTCCTTAAGTCTATAAACAGTAAAGCTTGATTCTACTTGCAAAGGAGTATTTTCTCCATCTCGCATTACAAAAATCTGATAACTGCCAATTTCTAAATAAGAAACTAAATTACAAGTAATCGTTGAGTCATCTTGGATATTATAATCAGAGATATTTCGATTGTCTTCCAATTCTTGGCCACAATAATATAATTGAGTGACGCAAATATCGTTAATTTTATTCTTTATATCTTTAACTTTATCTGTTGGTTTAACTCCAATCTTTACAAATTTAGTATTTACAGATTCAGCTTCATAATTAATTTCCACATTAATTTGCATATTTTCGCGAAGCAAATATTTTAAATGAATAGAGGATCCATTTTGAATGTCATAATCAGCAATTGTATTGTTGTCATCAAGAATTTCTCCAAAGAAATAAATTCTTTGAGAATTTGTAGGGATTCCTTTAAGTCGTTCAATAGATTGTTTTATCTTTAAAATTTTTTCAGAAGGTTTAATTTCAATTTCAGTCGAGTTTCCCGTCAAAATTTTTACATGAATTTTCATCTTTAGAGAAATGTAAAAGTGGAATGAATATGCGAGTTTTGGATGATCTGATCCTTATTATTTTTATTATTTCAAACTCGGATCTTTTTTTTCATTTACTCCATTTAGAAAAAAAAGAATAAGTACATAAGATAATGAAAGGTTTGTATAACAGAAATCTGGTTTATGATTTTTATTTTTAATGGTGCTTTTCCTTGTATTCGTATTCAATAAATAATAATAATAAATTAAAAATATAGATGCGCGGTCCATAATAGCCAAATATAGTCCAACAATAATATTGAATATAACTATGTACAAATACTATCATCCAAAAATAAATCAACCCAACATAAATCAATTTGAGAAAATCAAAAGTTTAGAAAATATTCGATTGATATAGTAGGAAGGATTGGGTCAAAGAAATAAAAGCATATTGATGTATTTATTTATTATCATTCAATATTAAATTATATTTAATATTATTCAATATTAATTTATATTTAATATTAAATTATTTAATGTCAAGTTATTTATTATTTAAATAATAGAAGATATGATAAATGATCAAGTGAATAAATATTGAATTGATGGAAAATCTAAAGTGCCAGAAATTATAATGGAAAAAAGCTTTATTAATTGTGAATCAATTTTATTTAATATTGTAAATAAATATAATCTATTTAATTTACGTTGTTATTTATAACATATATTAAATCTTATATAGATAATATCATTAATGAAATTATGAGATTTTCTTTAAAAACCATTATTACGATGGAAATAGTTACAATGAGAATAATAGCAATGAAAACAACCATAATAATCGACAACAACAGGACAGAATGAAAGAAGAGATGAAAGATACCAAAGAAATTGAAAATTAATTTCAAATCGACGAAACAAATTTAAAGTTTATCGTCACTTAAAAATTCATTAAAATTTCGGTTGAATGAAATACATGAATCAATCCAATCATCGAAAGAGAAAAAAATATTTTAAGATTTGATTTTATTTTTTTTATTTTATTTTATTTTTGATTATTTTTTTATTTTATTTTATTCTTATTTTATTTTATTTTTTTAGTTTTTTATTATTTTTTATTATTTTTTATTGTATTTTACTTTTATTTTATTTGTTAAGGCAAAACAATAAAGTCCAAAAAAAAAAATAAATAAATAAAATCTTAGATCCTCCTCCCTCCTGGTCCAGGTTAAGATAATGATAATTCAACGATTGGGACATGATAAATATTTTATTATTATTTCAACCCAACAATTTAAATTAAAAAAAAAATATAATCTGAAATAATTTATTTATATTTTCTACTGATATAATAATAATATTATTATTAAAAAATTATTAATTCATTTGGGTAATTTTATTTTATTTTTCTTACAGGCGGAGAACGGATAATAATATTTATTACTGCCATCAAAAATAACACCATTAGATATACATATTTATCAATCAAATAACAGATCTTATAAAGGTGAAGAAAATTCCAATGATGACAACAGAAATAATACTAACATATGTAGTTAAAACGTAAACTATAATCTTCATTATTTTTCATTTTATAGAATCAAACGTTTTCAATCTTGGAAACTGATAAAATTATTAAATAATTTTTACCTTTATTTTTTTAATCCAGTGCCCCATTTGCTACTCTCGATTCAAAAGAATAATCGGAAATATATAGATTGAATCGATAGTGTGAGAAATCGGCACTGAATTACTATTCAATTTTAAGGCAAATTTGACCAAAAAAATATCAATCAACTTCGCGAAAAAATATTTTCTTTGTAACGGTCATAGACTTGGACTAACATAAAATATAAAAAGTAATGCCGTTCTTTCACGAATCACGACTTAAACATATTAGAAATTTGAAATCTAACTTCCTCTAAGCCTCAGGGTCGAATGAAGCGTATATTCCTTCTGATATTTAGTCTGCAAAGTCAAACCATCCTCAAGTTGTTTACCCGCAAAAATATGTCGTTGGTCGTAAGGCAGAATAACTTCCTTTTTGTAAATTAACTCCTTAGCTCTGTAAACAATAAAGCTTTTATTCTACTTGCAAAGTAGTAATTTAACTCGTAAATCTGATAACCCTTTCTACATTAGAAAATATATTACAATCAGAGGTTTTTTATTATCTTCTAATTTTTGACCACGATAATATAATTTTAATATCTGGAATTTTATTCTTTATATCTCTGATTGCGCATGTGGGTATAAATTTAATTTTTAAGATTCTTATAGTACCCGTAACTTCGTGATTATTTTCCAAATTATTTATATATTTTTGCGAAGAAAATATTTTAAGTCCATAAAAATTGTAAAACGGAGCGAAATGAAATTGATTTGCAATTTTTGATCATTCTCTACTCCATTTAGAAAAAATATTATTTAAAAAACAATACAAATATAATTAAAGATTTGTTAAACATTCATAAATATACTGCGTACAATGCGTAATACTTATAAAATGCAATCATTAAACCTTCTGTTATTATCCCATTGTTCTAATTAATTCGATTAATCTAGCTCTAACTTCCACTGATCTTCGTTTAAAAAATTAGGCGGATCGGAAAAGGTAAAGAAATAAGAAAATTAGTTTTTTTTTTCAGAACGTTGGTTAGAATATACATGAAAAGATCGAAAATTCGTGGTTAATAATTATTTTTGTTAAAAAAATATTTATATTAATTTGTAGACATGAAAAAAATAATATTAAAGTTTATGGTATGGTATCTCTATTCCATACGAGAGGTAGATCGAGAACGATAAAAAATCGTACGACATTTACATTGGAAAACACGTGAAAATCGAAATAATCAACCAAAATAATCAATAATAAATATTTGATTAATAAAAATAAATAATTATTAAATAACTGTATACATTTACTATGTAAATTTTTTATGGAAATAAAGAGAAGATTTTGTTAAAAAAAATAATTAAAATATATTACCTTACTTTAGAACCACCTAAAAGATTTTTTTAAATGAATCATATCATAAAGTGTTTATCGCTTCACAAAAATAGAAATTTCTAAGGGATATTTAAGAAAAGTTCATTATTAATTTATCCCCTCCCCCATACCTTTTGTTCCACCATTGCAACCTCTAGTTCCACCATGACTTCCCTAATAAAATTTATAATAATAATACTTACTGAATGGTATTATTATTATTATTATTATTTAATTTATTATAAATTTATGCAATCAGTATAATAAGTTCATTTGGAATTGGAATGATCTGATCCAGTCACTTTAATAAATATAAATTTAATTATACGAGTTAGTCAATAATTCATGCATAAAAAATTCAAACAAAAGATTATAGCTCTATTATTTATTTTTATGTATCGTATATTGTGCATAGTATTATTAGCTGATTATTTAAAAATAAATGACAATTAAATTGAAAAATTATAAAAATATCTAAGAATCAACTTGAATGAATTTTTTGTGGTAATAAAAATTGAAGAATTAAAAGGTGGTTCCAATGCTTACAAAATACTCACAATATTGAAATTTATTCTTCAAAAAAGATATTTTTGCAGCTAAAAATCATTGTAGCAAAAATTTTAGAAATATTCTTTGAATATTCAAATTCAAAAATTCAAAAAAATTTTGACATTATCAATTCATTTCTTATGACCTTTTCCTATGATAATTTTGAGTTTTTGCTATATTCATATTCAAAATAAAAAAGAAAGGTCATAAAATAAAAGTACAAAGTTGAAAAATACAAATCAATCCTTACCCTCGTCATGTAGAATCAACACAACTTCCATCACTTCTTTAATCAAAAATTTTACCACCACAAAAAGAATCTCGGGGAAATAATAAAATAACAATAAATATACAAACCATACTTCATAAACTCAAATATTTTTCATTTATATTTTATCTTAATAACCGTTTTAATAAATCATGAAATATTTTCTAAAATAATAAAAATAAAAAATGAAAAATAATAATAAAAAATAAAAAATAATAAATAATAAACAATAAATAATAAATAATAAATGATAAATAATAATTAATAAATGATAAATAATAATTAATAAACAATAATTAATAAATAAAAAAATAAAAATATTATGAAAATAACAAAATTCATTACCTAATTCATCAATAAGTTTTTCTAAATTAAAATCTATTGATCAATTTATTCAATAATAATCCAATAACTGAACATCTTATTAAAAAATCTTAATCGATTAATTCAATTACGTAATTAAAATAATTAAAATAAAAGAAATAAAAATAATTAAGAATAAGAATTAATCAATTTAAAAGCATTTAAAACAAATAAAATCAATAAAACCATATTATCTCATAACATCTCTCTCTCTCGCCACTCACATTCCTCCCTCTCACCCACACATACTCTTCCATACACTATACTTTTGTATACAGGATATCGCATTGAGAGTGAAGTAATTATTGCACATTCCTAATAATAAGAAATATTAAATTAATCTCAATCAAATAATATAAATATAATAATATATAATAATATATAAATATATATAATTGACCGAAATTCACAATTCTATTTTATCTATTGATAATATTTCCCCCTTTCCTCCCCTCATTGTCAAATTTGTTATAATCATTGATATTATTATTCAAATCATTCTTACCAAAAATCCTAATTAACATTCTCACCAAAAATCCTAATTAAATTACAACTGATGCTAAATTGATTAAAAAAGAATTTAATATCAAAATTAAATCTGTAAAATTTTACATCTTAAATACATTTCTATCATATATAATGAGCAATTGTATTGCTGACATCAAGTATTTCTCCCAAGAAATAAAGTCTTTAATTCCTTAAAGCTCTTCATTTAATAAATTATTTTATTTTTATAATTTTTCAGAAGGGTTAATTTCAATTTAAATTGGTTTTCCTTTCAAGGTTTTTGCATAATTTCATCTTTAGAGAAAATATTAGAATGAACGAAAATGAGCGACGTTACTAAATCGTACCGCACACCAT